TCACGATGAATATTGTTGAATATACATGGATATTTCGGATTTACATGTATACTATTGAATTTCTAAGTTATTTCTTGATACATATGGATATAAAAGATGAAAAAAATGATTTTACCCCCTAGGTTAAACTAAAAGATGTCGCGATAGTTAGCATTTGCGAGTTGTGTCAACACTTTTGACATTTCGAAATGGCTTCAAATCGGACCACTTTTTGTACATACGTACAATCGTAATGGCTCATTCTCATGTTGCAATCGAAAAATTTGTATATCCCTTTTCGGAAATGAAATTTTTTTCTTCAATAAAATGCTTCGGCAAAAATAAAATCAAATCGAAATAAATTACACTTGTCATTTTCTGGTTATATGCACAAACGAAAGACGGAAAAGTATAAGACAGGCACTGAGCTCACGCACGTGCATCGGATACGTTTGCCGCCATTTTTCCCTCAGATGTTATCTCGCCGGTATTATTAACGCTACACATACCATTCGAGGCTTTGTTAATGAAACGCTTCGAGTGTTGGATCCATGTTCACCAATACATTGTCAATGGCATTGTCGGCAACAGCGGTGACTGTGTCTTGTTCGTTGTATTCGATGTGTTCGTATTGGACCGACCGATGTAAATGTGCGTTCAAACGTATGTTGTGCCTTGATTCGGTCTGTTTGCGCCTTTGCTTCGATGCTTTGCCTCCGAACACGAACCCATCGTGTCTGATTGTGTACGTGTGTTTCAGATGACAATGGAATATCAGCGCCATGTTATTACATACACCGTCTTGAATATTCAGCATAGTATTCAGGCATAGTATTGTTCGGCAATGGTTGTAAGGATGCCAAATAACGGTGTGATTCCACTAATGTTTATACCAATACATCCGGACCAGTTTGAAATGTTGCAACAGATTATGAAATTGCAAAGTAAATCTAAGCGATTAATCGCTAAAAATAAAACATTGAAAAAAAAACAAGTATTTTTTTAGCAATTCATTGAGTAAATTGCCGTACAGGTAGCATGAAAAATGCCTTGAACATGGCATACTTGATGCGATTGAGTACAAAGCCGTGAAACGTGCAAGCATTGTATTGAGCAGTATCATACTGTATATGCCGCAATTAAGTGAATCTTCACTTGTCAAATTGCCTTCTAGCATGCTCAAGTGCCGGCTTGCTCATTTTACTTATCACTAGGTAATGTCAAATATTCCGTTTTAATTCCCTTTCGCCGTTCTTCGTCCGTTAATTGTATCTATAAAAATATGGATTAAACGTTTTGCACAACATGCGCTCATTGAAAAAAAAAGAATATGAAAAAAACGTGAAAAACGAACAAAATGCTGAATTTACAGAATGTTACGAATTCGAAATCGAAATTCGAAACGTAATAAAAAAATCCCTTTGTAGACGAAGCTTGTTCCGTCGTTTGTGATGCAAGCGCATGAGGGAGACGGAAAATTGCGAACAAGAGAAACAAGCAACAGCGCATACAAAACGGTGAGTGCTACACAAATAGAGCGCGCGTGTGGGTTTCGATTTGCTTGGCCCGTTTGCGAATGTATGTGATGATGACGAGTTGTGTGTAGGTAAGTCGAATCGCGTGCGTTAATCATTGTATGGGTGTGTATGCGTTATACATATTGTTTGCGACAAACAGGGATGCCATTTCAATGTTAAACTCATCGTGTGACTTTTCTGTACTTGCTTCGTATTCACATTCACACACACAAACATATTATTACATACAGAGTGTGTGCGTGTTTGTGTACTTCTTTTTTTCTCTGTTCTTCTTTCATCTATCTTTGCGAACAGGCAAAAAACGAATACACGAAGAGTGAGTATATATCATCCACAAAACCAACTGTACGAAACGACAATTTACCTATACTATTGTGTCTCATCGCAACCGTATCAAATACAAGACAAACACACATTTCACAACGTTTTGGTTAGCAATTTATTTGAGTGAAGAGAAGAAAATACGCGCTGCAGTTTCCCATCACATTTTGTTTATAGTTTTTATTTTCATATACACAATTTGCGATACAAATTTTAAGGTAATTTTTGTCTGACAAATAACCCAAAGTGATCTCGGTTAGTGCAAAAGAAAAACGGTGCCACCAACTCATGTTTTTCGGCCAGTGTTGAGAATATATAAGTTACGGTCAGGAATATTCTAGTTGTAGACCTCGTTCAGAAGAACACAATATAGAAGAAGAGAAAAAAAACAACATTCATAGCACACGACGCCTAATCATACGTGCACACGGTAAATTTCGGAGGCCACAGAAGATGATGGCGAACAGTTTTGACCGAAAACAGATTTTTTTTATCCTTTCATTCCGCTTGTAATCCGTGCAACAAAATCGTACAAGCTCTCGATAAACTGTCCAAAATCAAACTACGCATCACGATGCAAAGTAAAAAAAAAAATTCAGACACACCACATTTTTGTTACAAGTTCGATCCATCAAGGGAGACGAGACGCCATGAACTAACAAAAAACCATGCGTTTTTCTACATAAGTTTTATTTCTCTTTTCTGCAATTTCGCAAAGTTTTGCAAACTTCATGAAAATTTCAATCCATTCGACTCGGTCAAGATTTACGATTCCAATGAATTACAGCCAAATAGTTTCGATTGAAAAATCGATTTGAGTTACAGAATGTTGTATTTCAAGAAGTTTGTATTTTAAATTTTTGTGTTTCCCAAGAAAATATATATGAAATTTGTGGAGTTTATCATAACATGAGTCAACACGTCACCGACCCGATTTTAATGCCATGATTAATCCATTATTACAGATAAAAAAAAACCGTGTCACTTGAACTTCAAGACTAAATCACACAATCACATACAAGTACACACACACACACATAACTGTTGGCAAAAAGAAATGATCATGGAAGCTGTACCATCACCCCAATCGGTTGGCCGAGAATTCGTACGTCAATACTACACCCTGTTGAACAAAGCTCCCGACCATCTTCATCGTTTTTACAACAACAATTCGAGCTTCGTCCATGGCGGTCTCGATCCACACAATCGCGAGGCAACCATGGTTATCGGCCAGAAGCAGATCTACAATAAAATCCAACAGCTCCGATTTCGGGATTGCCACGCCAAAATCAGTCAGGTTGATGCTCAATCGACTCTTGGCGGCGGTGTTGTGGTCCAGGTAACCGGCGAATTGTCAAACAACGGTGAACCAATGCGACGTTTTACGCAAACCTTTGTGTTGGCAGCGCAATCGCCCAAAAAGTACTACGTGCATAACGACATTTTCCGCTATCAAGATCTCATATCAGACGATGAGGTCGAGGTGGAAAGCCGATCGGAAAACGACGATGAACAGGAGGTGGACTCCGGTACCGGTTTGGTCGTTGATAACAAGGTAAGCGGATTGTGGTGGACCATTTTGTTTCGATCAGATTTATTTTGTTTATTCTTTACGTAGTGAATTTTTTCGACATTTTTTCTGTTAAAATTTCGATTGTCATTTGGTTTTGGTTTCGATTGTAAAATTGATAAAGAAAATAAAATGAAAAATGTGATGGACCAATTTTTGGGTAGGTTCGATTTTGAACCACTGTAATGCCATCTCATACTCTCCCATGTATTCGATTATGTGTGTGTCATAACCATGTTTGTTTTTAGGCGTAAATTAGTTGTAGCACTTCCTACTTGTGAAATGTGATTTGTAACATTTTTGTGAAAATTGTGTATAGCAACAGCAGTCTCAACAACCAATTTACTACCCATTGGGAAACGTTCAATCTTATCAACAGCAACCCCAACCAGCTGCTCAATTGAACGGAGTCGTTCAACACGATGAGATTCTCCAGAATTTGACGCCATCGAACAACAACATTGCCGTCAACAATGTGAACAACAGTACCAGTGGTAAGAAATATCACCATCCAATTCGTATAGCTATTTCAAATTTACCCTGTGCTTTTATCAATGCTTCTACCATGTGTGAGTGGTTATGAATTATATTTTTCTGCGCTTGCAGCTCATACACCGTTGCAAATCCAGTCTCAAACAATGTCGGCACAACAGCAAATCATGCCGGTGGACCAGTTGGCTACTGTGGGCAATCAGAATGTCGCTGTAAACGACTTGGAAAACGTATCGGTGCCCGTATTACAAAATGAAATCGACCAGCAGAACGATGTTAGTGCACAGGCATCAGTGGATATTGAATCCAAGGATGATTTGCCCAGCATCCAGAGCGAGCAGAACAACATCAACGATAATCATACCAGTGCCGACGAAGTTTCAAAATCAATCCAGAGCGAGCCAAAGACATACGCTCAGTTCTTCAAATCGGACAACTTCAGCAGTGGCATCAACTTTGTATCTTCATCGGCTACGAATACGGGACGAACACCAAACACAACCAACACCTTGAACTCCCGATCGCAATCCACACGAACTGGCCAAATCAGAGGTTTGTCATAGTCACTCATTTGTTTTGCAAAAAAAAAATTGTCAAATATTTTGTATTTCTTTGGTTTTACTCTCATTGGATCAAATGCAATAATAATCTATGTTTATTTGTATTCGCACAGAACGAAGATCGAGCAATGCGAACCAATTCAGTGACAACCATCAGCTATTTTTAGGAAATGTACCCCATCATGCAACTGAGGAAGAACTAAAGGTGATGTTTGGACGTTTTGGTACGGTCGTTGATCTGAGAATTCATTCGAAACCGGGACCAAAAATTCCAGGCGTCCGAGCACCGCAAAACTACGGTTTCATTACCTACGAAGATCCGGATTCAGTGCAGAATTGTCTAGCAAACATGGTAAGTTGTCACACCACTAATACATGAAAAAAAAACAAAGCTAAACAACAAGTGGGCTCGATTTGTGATTTCGTGCATTTCTCTTTTTTTCGTTTTGTTTATTGCTCAATTCAGCCTCTGTACTACCCTGAAAACTCTCCTGATGGCCAAAAATTGAATGTTGAAGAGAAAAAGGCACGTATGCGTAACGAAAACTCAAACAATGTCGATCGCAACGACCGTGACCGAAACGATCGAGGCCTTGGCCGAACCATTTCGGGTGGTCAAAACAGAAACAGTGGCGATCGCGATCGAGGAATTAACTTGAATCGCATATCAAATGCCCGGCCAGGCGGTGGAAATCGACCATTCAACCGAAATGACCGACAACAAGGCCCACGAGGAAGCAACAATCCATCAAATTCAGCATCAGCTGGAAACGGTGGTGGCTACGCTCGTCGCTAAAACGCTCCAAGGAAATGCATGCCTAGACGTGCACATGACACAATAACACCGGCAACACAATTTGAAGCGCCGGCCTTTGAAAAAAACATGTGCACTTCTTCGCTGGATACCAGATTCGATTTTAATTTTCTAATTTTTTTTTTAAACTAGTAAACAAACTTTGCAATTAATACAAACAAAAAAACATCAACCAAACAAACAAACAAACAAACGAAAAAAAAAAACGTTCATAAATCTAGAAAGCGCATGTTATTTTCATTTCTTTTTATTTGTTTTGAAAGCAGCCTACTTAAATGAGAAAAAAAAGAAACAAATAGATGTATAAAATTAAGGATCTGGTGATGATATGCATTACCTATAAAGAAAAACTCCAAAGAAAATTAAAGAAAAAAAACACACACACACACATACATACACGCAGAAAGAAAAAGAGGAATCAAAACTTAGACATTGAAATGGTTTACTATTGATTACTTACGAATTAGTACAGACATTGAAAAAATCGAGTAAAAAATCATTTATGTGGGAAGAAAAAGAAGCAGTGAAGAAAACTATGAGGTTCAATGCCAGAAAGAAATTCGAGATATTAAAAAAAAGAGGAAAAGAAAAAAACAATGCCAATCAATACCCACTAGGAAATCTACCAAGTCTAGTTTTGGATGTAAATTAAGTTGCAACAAATTTTAGAAGAAAAAAAAAATGAAGAAGAAGAAGAAGAAGAAGAGGGAAAAAAATGCAACAAATGAACACTCACACAGTCGCCATACTGCTACTTTACGTACTTGGCTGGCCTCTGTACGCAATTCAAAATCGAACATATTCTTTAGTTTCCTTTTGAGTCATTGTCTCTAAAATGAATTGTAATTTTTAGTTTCTTTCTGTTTTTTTTTGTTGTTGTTGGAAAGCATTTGTTTTTATCTTCTTTTTCTTTTAAACTCTTTCTCTCTCTATCTCTCAACTCTCATTTAATAACTTGAAAGTTATTAATTGAGATGCAATTTTTGAACAATTCGGGCGAACAATGCCACCCAAAAATAAAAAGAAATGATGATTTCATGATTTAAAACTGAATCTTTTTTTAAGTTAAAAACAAACGAAAAAAAAAAACAAATAACTAGGAATGAAAAAAGTAATAATAAATAATAATTAAATGAAATGAAGAGAAAAAAAAATGAATAAAGACTTGTAAAAAAAACCATCCATAGAAAACATGTTGTGTCTCGTATAAACCATGTCAAGTAAACAGTTCCTGATAAGAATGGTTCGTGTTGTTGTTCAGGTGAAATATTCAGCCCCGAGACGAATTCAACAAAACAGAGAAACCAAAAGTAATGTTTACCTAAATTGATAGGATCACGTTACGGATTCTCTATTGAACTGAAAATAAATTCTCATCGGCACAATGAAAGTCTGAGTGATCAATATGCATTATTCAATTAACGCAACACCAACAACAACCGAAAAAGAAACATCAACATCAATCGGATACGACACACGACACAAGGCATACGAAGAAGAAAAAAACAACCAATCTAACAACCGAAAAACTTTTTTTACAATGTATTGGAAGTTATTAACTAGCAAAACCATGTAAACTTAAATGATTTTTGTTTGTTTGATGCAAGAGAAGAACAAAAAAAAATAAAACAATTCATAAAGGCTTTAAATAGAGATTTTGATTTATTTCGAATCGAAATCAATTCAATAAAACAAACAAACACAAACGCGCGTAAAAAAATGAAATGTGAAACATAATTTAAATTTTGCGGAAATAGATTATATGTGATTTCTTTTGTACAACAACAAGTAACGAAAACATTATTATATTAATAATAAAGAAAAGCGTAAAAAAGCAACAATTGTAAAAATAAAAAAAAATGTGGTTGAATTGCTGGGCTGAATTGATACTTGAGTGAATTTTCGTGCGGACGACAATTTTCATTGCCGAATGTGTAATCTCGCTCTAGTGCCATGCCTCAGACACTTTGATGAACAAAATAGATGAGAAAAAAAACTCAAAAAGACACAAAAAACACATTATCAAATAAATTTAGTAAATAACACACAACACATACACACACACACACACAAACAAAACACTCTCAACGCAAAACACGACATATTCCAATTACATTCTACTCTCAACTCATATATCTCGCAGTCAAATTACTAGGAATAAAATGCAGAAACAAAAGAATAAAAAGAAACAACAACCGAATACGCTGAGAGTAAACTGTACTTATTTATTTTAAATGAAACAAGAAGACTCAGCAGAAGCTGAACACACACACGTACATGTCTATGTCTAAAGACACATGCATTACAACGTTTGAAAATTCATACATCCTACAGATGACAAACAAATAGAAAAAAAAGCAACTGAAACAAGAAGCAAAAAGAAAAAAAAACATAGCGATTTTTTTTTCTGAAATAGAATTTTTTTTATTGTGAACGAAATAAAAAAAAATCAATGTTTTATCCCGGTGTATGGGATATCTCTCTCCTTTGTATCCACGAGAAGAAACAAATAACAATGCATATTCTTAGACAAAGATTTTGTTTAACAAAAGCGATTTACAAAAAAAAAACAAAGTTTTTAATTTCAATAAATTTATCTTTTTGTTTTAAATTTTATGTTGACCAAGATTATTTACGTTTTTTATTGTCTCACAATTTTTTATTGTTTTTTTTTTCTACTTTCAGTTGACTCTTTAGTTGATAGTGTTATTGATTATATTGGACATTAGTTCCTATTTTCCATTTGTTTTTTTTTTTCTTTCGAATTAAGAAACTCTTCAAGTGTTCAATCACTTTCGGTGTCTCGTGCGTAGACTAAATCGCATTTCTATTCTCACTATTGGATAGACATAACATGAGAGTGTGTGATGACGTAACAAAAGTGAAGAAAATACGAAATCTTTTCTTTTCATTCCCATTCATTAACAAATGACATTCAATGAAATATGTGAATTCCTTTGATTTTTGCCCCTTTTACTGAAAGATATGCCAAAAAAAATTAATATTTAATCGAAACAGTAAAAGCAAACACCGAGTTTGAAAGCAATGATTTTCCGTGGATTTTTCTTTCATTGGTTAATGGCGAGATGTATGAATTTTGTCTTATTTGAGTGATAGTATAAATCCAAGCGATTTTTCAAAATTGCTTATAATCATCGAGATTTTTGAGCTTAAAAATCTGACTTAGGTAAAACAAAAATCAACATCTAACGCATTTTCAATGGGAAAATTCATGGGCATTCACTATTTCGACTTTAAAACACAACAATGCGAGAAAAAAAAATTGTTACAGTAAGTAGTTAGACGAGCAAAAATAGAAAAAAGAACAAAATCATCAATTATGTAAAATTCCTAACACAGGCCAATAATTTAGCATAACTTTTTTAATGAATGTAAACAATTCTTAAACTGAGAAAAAGATACGAAGAAAAAAAAACCATCAACACAAAGATTTTACTTCATTTTGCCTTACAAAAGCGAAATAAAAGAAAAATGAAAACGAATAAGGCAATACGGTCGTTCCCAATTCCACTGAGCGAGATTTGAGTTTATCTTGTCAACTTTTTGCATACCTAAAATCGTGAAACTGTTGAATTTCTGTTTAAGAAGAAAACAAAAACGAGCCACATGAATCGCATGTTTTACAAAACGCTTCTCCCAAGTACTAAATCAGAACCGAAAGAGAATCAGTCGTATGTGAATGGATTGATGGTCAAGTGAACGCAGCTGGCAAAATTAAAAATGTTTCTATTTTTTCTCTATCACTTTCTCGAAAGTATTTTATAAAATTGTTTGTTGAAAGAATTGATTGGTCGTGCGCATGAATTTCGAAAAAAAAAGTTGTTCCATTCGATGGATTATTACTGCGAACCTTGCCTTTTTTTTACTTCCGACAAAAAAAAGAAGAAACGAGTATTCAATAAATAAAATAAATGGATAGCAACAAAATAGTGAGTCAAAAAGAAAATCGAATAGAACCTAGACGACATTTCAGGTGCTTCTGACATGAACATGAAATGACATTTTTTTCATATATGATTTGCGAAAATGGTTCATTTATTAATTTTCTCTCTCTCTCTTTCTTAGGCACACGAAATACAATAATTTTTTTTAAACCGTCTCTAATTTAAATCAATATCCGAAATTAAACAGGAGCTGTGATAAACGAGTTGTTTAAATTAGAAACGGAATATTTTTTGCTTGTGTGCAAAATTTGTAATCCGTAATCATCTGAATCATCACACTATGAATTATCCGATTTTGTTTTAAATGTTCATTCTAAGTAGACGATTTTTCAGAGTATGATTCGCAATTAAATATTCGAAATGGATGAAAATTGATGAGAATGCTTCTGGTTGATGAAATTTAGGCGAAATGGTGGCGGTTTCTAAGTTTTATAAATGATTATAGGTGATTTAAACAAGCAAATAAAAATTGGTGCCACATGATAATATACAACGTCAAAGCATTTACAATGACATGAAAGATATGTTTCCCCTTCAACTAAAAAGGAACAATAACAGCAGCAAAAATCCAGAATTTATTTCCTGAAACGAAATCCGATTTAGAAGCTTTTGAATGCTGACACAAATTTAAGAAAAATATAACAAACGAATGCGAGACTGATAATCAAATTACCACAAGGCGTAGTTTTATGTAGGAACTCGAAACTCATTTTTTTTCTTAATTTCATAAAAATCGCCAAATTTTTTTCGGTCGAAAGGAAACGGTTTTTTTAAAGCTCTGATTATGATTTTTGCCTTGAATTGTTCACCAAATAATAATAATGTAGCTCTATAGGTGTGAAAAAAAAAACAAAACAGAGAAGAACGACGATGATGTCTGTACGATCACTCCGTTGATATAAAGAACTGACAAAATTTGATGATCAAAAAGCACACACAAACTTAACAGTCCAGACCACAAAAAATAAATCACATACACAAAGTAAATACAATAAAGAAAAAAACAAATTGAAACGAAACGAATCGAATTGAAATAGTAGAAGTGTCTTGATTTCATTATACAAAATCTAATGAAAACTGCACACTCAGACACAATTGTTTAAAATTTGTATAATTTAGGACAAATTTTGTTGATGTCGACCAAAAACATCCATGAAAACATAAAGAGGAAAAACAAAATGAAACAGACGACAAAAAAAATCCAATAACTCGATGCTGCTTATCAAAACTGAACCCACGATCAGCAAACATATATAATAATATAGAAATTGTATATTCTTTAATTCAAATTTCCAGTCAATTTTTTTGTTGTTGCTTTCACTTTACATCGCATTTCAAGTCTGAAATCATTTTGTCTATATCCTTTGATCCAATCAAAGGTTCTTTGTAGCAATTCAATGGGAAGAAATAAGAAAAATCATCAAATTTGTTGAAACAAAAGAGAAAATTGTAAGTTCAACCGAAGATTTGATAAAATAAAAAATAGCACGATCAAAACATATATACTATGTCAGAGTGATGATGTCTTTTTGTGGGCCCCGAGGGCAGTTTTTCTTTTATTTTTCCTTCATTAAAAGGAGAACATAATTTATTTCTTTTCTCAAAATGGCACATACCAGAGCATGCAGTCGAAATTCGTCTTGCAAACGGATGAACGGATGACACAGTGTGTGGTTGCATTATCAGAGAAATATCGCGTGAGCATGGCCACCAATGTAAACGCAGTCGAATTCGATTGTGTGAGTATGTGAATTAGAAACAGGAAAAAAGAGCAAACATGAACTGGCAACAACAACAAGAAAACGGACACAAAATCGCGACCGTGCGCGATTTCGTAGCAGCAGACGGAAGGCATATCTGCTTCCTCTAAATCAGTTGATCGTGCTACTTAGTGCCGAGTGGACGTAAGAATTTGAACAACCGAAAATACACAGTGCCCAATTCATCGCAGAACATCACGTAACATTTTGTTTACCATTGATTAAGTTTATAAACTTATTCCAACTTAAGGTACGGATTGAAACCGAAATTTTAGTTCCAACATTAGTTTTCTCGTAGAATTTAATTATTTTTCCCCAGTTTACAGTGTGTATAGATAAGGTTAAACATTGCAAACATACTGAGGTCACTTCCAGTGTTATCAATATTCCCGAATATTTTTTTTTTTGAATAACTTTGATTAAAAATGCCCTCCGAATTAGAACATTCAACGTTCTATTGGTTTGAAAACGTGCAAATTCTGTCATAAAAATTCATTCTACGTTCGAGGACATCAGCGAAGAAAAATTTAGTTAGAATTATCGTGATCAAAACAACTTCATTCAAAGAAAAATTAAAATCTCGAATGTTATTTTCGTATCACGGAAGTCTTTGACCAATTTTCTTTGGTCCAAATTTCGAAAAACGCCTTTAAAGTTCATTTTCTAACGATAACCTTTGGATTATCTGCCCTAATTTTTGACATTCTATGTTGAAATTTGAGAAAAACGAAAAAGAAATTTAAAAAGAAAAATTCTTTAGTATGAAGCAAATCTGAGTGGCTGCAACTCTTCGAAAAATTTGCGAAAAATTCAAAATCATAAATGCTAAAATCCCGTCCAGAATTATTCGCTCTGACCAAGAATTCAGAATTTTTGGCCGATTATTCAAATGGAATGGAAAAAGGGTTACAACACCACATGTGCAACTGAAACGGAAAAATTTGCAAAATTGCAAAGTCTAAATTGAGTTTGGTATCCATGAGCATGTGTTTGATCATTCATAGAAAATAGTTTTTGAAATCGGATCCACCTACGATGTAGTAAATGGTTAACTTGAAGCTGCTGCAGGCATTTATTTTCATTCGGCAAATAGCAAAAGCGCATTCCCAATACAAAATTACTGCTGATTGTAGTGCAACCACATTTTACTTTCATTGAATTAAGTGAGTGAGTGAGTGAGCGCGTATTTGGTTCGGGCCATAAAAATGCGATAAATTCGAAATTATTCATTTCATTTAAACTGGTATTTTGCGAGCATGTTCTAGTGTCTTAGTTTTTTTTCTCTTCGCTTTTATTTGAAAAGGAAGACCGGTAAACACATACTATGTTACACTGTGTCAGCTCATCAATTTTATGTACACAACATAATTCTGAGATTTAGCTTGCAAGCCCTGATGATGCGCTGCTTCATTCCGTTTCTTGCGAAAAATTGTTGCTCTACATTTTGCTTTGTTTATATATCAGCGATTAAGTGAAGAACGAAACAAAATAAGAGTCGTTGCGTTTTGTTCAATGGTTTGTGTTTGTGATATTGGGCGGCATGCATAAATCTATACGCATCGCATGCCATCCCAGTGCACATGACTTTTCAAACGTACACAGCATGCATAGGGAGGATATGCATATAAATTGTGCTAATCAGATGAAACAAACGATCACTCATTCTTTGCTTCGTCTTTCTGCGATGCGTCTCGTTTGTTTTTCTTTTCTTTCGGTTTTATGTTCTGACGCCTCACAAACACACACACACAAACACAGACATGAGCATCTGAAATCTGGACCGGATGTTTCTATATCTCATTTAGTAAACATATATTTTTTATTTTAAAAGAGTTGTTGCTCGAATCCATATCGCATCTTAACTCGACTCACATATTCGCAGTGATACTGTGCTAATGTGTGTTATCGCATAATTTTGGAAGTACACTGTTCTAAGGAGCCGCAACTTTAGCCAATTTTATCATTTGCAATACCATTAGCCCAGTTTTGTAAACAGGAAAGCGTATAGAAACATTGTTATACACACGTTATTCTCTTTCAACAGGATATATCGCAACAAGAAAATCATGAAGTTGAAGTACTTTCAACTGATTGCTTTGTTACTATGTGCAACGCTTGCTTTGGCCAAAGAAGAGGTGAGACATTTTGAATTTCGCACACCAAATTGATTCATTGATTCAACCAAATGTGATTGATTTTTATTCAAATTTTAGCTTGACGTTGACATAGATGACCTAGGTCAAGATGACTTAGATGATTTGGTTCGTGATGAGGAACTCCTTCGTGAAATTGAAGAAGAACAACTAGTATGGAAAAATAGATGGGTTTTTTTTCTATAGAAAATCACTTATGAATGACATTTATTTTACAGCACAAAGATTTGGTCCGTGAAAATGAAAGAGCTGCTGAAATTGCCGCTGATCTTGCACAACAAATGATTGACAACCATGCACCAATCCTACGTAATTTTTACATTTCCATCAAAATCTGAACATTTTGGTTTTAAATTGTTTTAAATTTTATTTTGAATCTCGTTTTTTTGAATAATTCAGTTGATCCATGCGCAAAAATCCATTGCGGTGCTGGTCGAGTTTGTCAAGCCGATGGAACAACTGCAGAGTGTGTGTGCATTTCAGAATGCCCACAACAAACTGATCCACGACGAATGGTTTGCACCAACAAAAACCAAACCTGGAACTCAGACTGTGAAGTTCATCGTGAACGTTGCCTATGCGACACAGATGATGCTCGCTGCAAATCGGCCGATTTAAAACACATCCACATTAACTACTACGGAGAATGCAAGGAAATTCCAGTGAGTTCAAATTCAAAATTGTCAAACGAAAATTGTTTTGTTTCGGATTTTTTCAAGAATTTGGAGCCACATTCAAGAGCAATTATTAAATAATTTCAATTTTTCGTTTTATAGGCCTGTAGCGATGAAGAAATGAGCGATTTCCCAAGACGTATGCGTGATTGGTTGTTCAATGTGATGAATGACTTGGCACAGAATGATGAATTCCCATCGAAATACAAGAATTTGCAAACCGAAGCCGAAACCAATATGACCCGTCGCTGGGCCAATGCTGCTATATGGAAATGGTGCGATTTGGATGGCCATCCACATGATCGTTCCGTCTCACTTCACGAACTGTTCCCAATCCGTGCACCATTGATGTCATTGGAACACTGCATCGCACCATTCCTTGAGTCATGCGATCCAGACGGCAACCATCGTGTCACACTTCAAGAATGGGGCAAATGCTTGGAATTGGATGAGGTAAAACATTCGGTCTGAAGCGACTTGAAATTGTAGTTGACTAAATTTAAGAAAAATGTGACCTAAAATCTGAATTTCTTACCATTATAACAGGGCGATATGGAGTACCGTTGTGAAGAGATTGGCAAAGCCAACGAATAATTAATTTCGATAACAATGAGAAATTCCTCGTATGCGTAATGCATATACGCAAACACATGTGTTGTGTGTGACATGCACACACACACGCACACAAGAATATGCCAAAAATTTGTAATTTTCATCGAATAAAGTCAATAGACACAAAAAACACGATTGTTTTTCTTTATCGGCATTTTTTGTAATTGCACCGAAGTAAAATCCAATCGAATGTCATTGGTTGTTGTACTACAGAAAAAGTGATTCGTTGTCGCTGAAAATGTGGGGAAAGAAATCGGCAAGGCCCAAGGTTGTGTTGCCGGCTACAAACCGATTGGAGAATAACTGCACATACAAAAGAGAAGCGAGTCCGTTTTGCAATTTTATTGAGAAATAAACAGCACACACAAGTTTAACACAACTTTAAACAAAACATTACTGAAAATCGGTTTCCTTTTTGTTTTGTTTTTAATTTGCTAAAAAAAATTCCCTAAAACTAAGAGATGAAAGTTGCGATATCAGAATATTGAACTATTTTGTGTATCGATTGTTTTCGTTCATTTTGTGTGATTCTTTTTTTTGTTACTTCTTCTCCTTTCATTTTGTTGCTTCATATTATTAAATCAGTACGTTGTTGTTTGTTTTGTTGGTTTTTTGTTTGTGTTGATTTCAGTAAATTTCCTTCGTATTTATTCAATAACCGTTTAAACTATTAATGTTATTCAGTTTACAATATTAATTAGCCATTTATTTACCGTTCGGGACCTGATTTTTGTTTCTTTCTTTCTTTTTTCTCTCGGATGTTCTCATTAATATTGTGTAAAGTTTTTTTTCGCTTTTTTTTCATTCATTCCGTTCTTTATTTGATTTCTATATTTAATTACGAGTAAACAGCTTTTTATTCGTTCAATTTCTCAAACAGCAAAAAAAAAATTGTTAAATGTCTTATGATTCTAGAAGGAAAAAATTTACTGACAAATCGTCGATAATGAAAATTATCGAGAAAAAAAAAACTTTTTCGCAATTAAACTTAAGAATGTGGTAGGAAAACAAATTTCTTGTAAAAAAAAAGAAGATTTTTCTGCACGAGAAAACGCTTTTAAGAACACACTTTTTCTTGCTTTAGTCTGTCTTTTGTTATTATGTTATGAATGTGGGATTTTCAATAGTCGGTTGTGAAAAAAAAAATTTCGTAAGAAAATGTAATTCATTTCTGTGTTTTTTTTTATGTTTTGTTTGATTTGAATTCGAAATGCACGCCTAAAGAGACTCACGATTTTCAAATCATCGTTCGAAAAAAAAATGAATAAATTATTTGTTTAAAAGATGAAAGACAGTGTTTGTTGGTTTTTTTCTTCTTCTTTAAATGCTACGATTAAGTGATTCCTCTGCAGTTGTAGAATTATTCAAAAAGAAAAATGTTCTGGATGTTTTTGAATAGGCGTCGATATTATGATTAATTTGGTTATTCTGGGCCTCCCTTCTTGCCGATGAGTGATTTGTGGATGTGTGGAATGACACCACCACCAGCAATGGTCGCCTTGATCAAACTGTCCAATTCTTCATCTCCACGGATGGCCAACTGCAAATGACGTGGGGTGATACGTTTCACTTTCAAGTCTTTTGAGGCATTACCAGCCAATTCCAACACCTAGAAAAGCGAAGATGCAAGAAAAAAGAAAAGAAAAAAGACCGTTAATAATCGATGATTCATGTGAAATACTTGATACGGGCATAAGCCAAAAAAAAAGAAACACAAGAGAAAAATCATTTGAATGAGCCGTCTTATCGATAGTTGGCTGAGTCAGGAAACATGAGAGAACAAAAAAGAAGCATAATAGAAACAGAAACGATGCAGTGGACACGCACAGACATGCATATGTATACATTCGTTCGGCATTCGTACGGCATTTTTGTTTGGCGGCAAATTGCACTCCGTTTACATGAGCACACGTCGCTTGCATTTGGTGTACAGTGTACACACAAACACAATACAGCCGAGGCACATACATACACATACACACAGGAACGCGCGCTTACACACATGCAGAGGCAACCGCATACGCAGAGCCATATACCAAGTGAACGCACATTTACGCTTGGGAAGAAGGGTGAGCAGAGGATAGCAAAACAACGCCAATGATTTGAAAATGAAATCAACGGTTTTTTCGTGCATCTCTTTTCCACACACTGTATCGAATTCATCGCTTCGTTTTGCCTCGTTCAAAGCGCCACAAATCGACTCACTCGAACAAATGTAAATGAATGCCGCCAAAAAAAAAAATGAAAACCGAACGAAAAATCATATTCAATGTGAATATTTGTGTGCTTTGGTATCTCACCGGCGAAAAAAAATATTTATGAAGATAAAGTGAAGGCAAAAAAAAATTGATGTGTAAATACACATACACACACAAGATCGATCCGAAACATAGCACACACAAAACACAAACAAATCGTTAAAATAAAATACAAAATGGCGGCAATCTACACCATTTGTGAACGCGCACAATTAAACATTTTCGTTGTCGGAATATGAGAAATAGAGAAGCGATATGAGTTTACTTACTTCGGCTGTTAAATACTCCAAAATAGCGGCACTGTAAACGGCAGCGGTGGCACCAACACGACCATGGCTTGTTGTGCGATTTTTCAAATGCCGGTGGATTCTACCGACGGGGAACTATAGAAAAAAGAAATAAGTAAAGAGATGAGAGAATGAAAGAAACGAAAAAAAAAACAATTGATATCAAACAAACACCAATGTAGAAAACAACAACACCAACAACAACAAAAAAAATGGTAGCGTAAGCACTAGCGACAAAATGACAGAGCGCCAAAAATGTTATAATAACATTGGTGGAGAAAAAAAAAACGATTGGGCTGTTGTTGTTGTTGCTGCAATCGAATTGAGCGCCCAAAAGTTGGCGAACCGAGAGCAACCGAATGATCGTCCAATTTTGAAAGAAATTTATTAAAAATCATAATAATTACCTGGAGTCCGGCACGTGCTGAGCGTGAAACGGCTTTTGCTTTGGATTTTCCGGAATCTTTACCTGCTTTGCCACCAGCCTAAAAAGACAAAATCATCAAATAAATACACACAGTGTGATTATAACTACCAAGCCCCGATACACGATACCAACACAGAAATTGAGAGAGAGAAAGAAAGAGAGAGAGAGCGAGAGAAAAAAAAACTATTCCATTTTTTTCTCTCTCATTTTTGCGGAAAATTAAGGTTAAGAATACAACATCGGTTTTTGGAGCGCGATACCAATATGAGTAAACGATACACAAGCATATGAAAAACTATCTTCTTCTCACTCTCTCTTCTTCTATTCTTTTATACCAACAAAATCAATTTCGCGCATTTTCCCGTTCGATAGAAGGAATCGAGAGTGGAAAAAATATATATATTTAGAACTTCGTTTTATACTTCAACAAACTCGAAATTGTTTTGCTATTTTAATGCGAAATTTACTTACCATTTTTCGTTTTTAATTTTATATTTTCGTTTAAAAAGTATCAAGCGAAATAAAATTTCCACAAAAATTACAATATTTTGTTCGCCAAAAATATACACAATTGTCGCACACACTCAACGTTTGTCTGTTCGCTACAGAGTTCTAAATTGAAGTGAAAAAAAGCCCAAGCACTGAAAAAGATGATGCCGCGAAAATACATTTTGGTTTTAGTGTTGCCCGATACGGATGGCATTTCGCTGCTCTTCAGTTGGCAACGACTGCGAAAACAAACGAAACAACAACCAAATGAATGCATTCAATGCCCAATTCAACAAATCAAACCGAGTAAAACGATTAGAAATTATGTCGAGTTGTTATGAAATTTATGCAGAAATATAAAATAGACGCTATGCCATGGAAATATTTAGGGAAATTGCATCAGAATTTTATGCAAGAAAAATGGAAAAAAACAGACTGTAAAAGCGCTTTCATTTTCAAAAAAAGACAATGTTCATTGCATTTCATTTGGATTCATATCAAAGTATACGTGAAATATTAGCAACGCCTCCTTCGTCGAATCTGTTTGCTATCTCTAGGAATAGTTTTAGACAAATGTCCACAAATGCAATGGAAAATTCCATTTTTTATATATTTGATTTCAAATCAATAGTTCTCCTTTACTTATTAATCATTCAATTTGTGGCCAAGCAAATTTCAAATTCTGTCTACACAGAAAGATAGGCAATAAATGGACAGAAAGCATTTGTTCCAAGTGTTGCTTCATACATATATATTCATAAGCAGTCAATTACAATAATAAAGGCATTCATGAAATTCTAACAGCGTAAGCTGCAATTAGTTTTTCAATGTTGATGGTGAAAAATGCATGTCGATATTCGTTCGTATCGATGGTTTAACGTAAAAACCAAACGAAAACAAAAATAATCAAATTTCCATTTATTTCAAAGAGATGATGCATTAAAATATTCAGCAAAAATACCAATCACATGCATTAGATTTGAATAGATATGCTGATTAAAGCATAGCCCGTCATTTATCCGTGTATCGTTGTTCTAATGTTGGCACAGAAACCACAGTAAACGATAAACAACCAATGAATTCATTTGATTCCAAAGGGAAAAAAAATCTGCAACAAAAAAGATTACGAACGAAGATAAATTGTTGTTAAATTCAAAACAATTTCGTATTTCACATCTTTGGCAAAATAGTTCGTAATTTCAAACAAATATATTAAAAATGCAAACAGTAGATGCAGCATTTGGTATTTATTTCACGTACAAATATTTAACGTTCAACACCAATGGCAGCAAACGCATCCATTCCTTTTTCTCTGTGTTGAACATTGACATTCGACGAACATTGAGCGGCATTTATGTCAAGCTATTCATATTACGGTTAAAATAAGATCATTAACTAAATATGATTTGAACGTTTAGTTTAATGTAAAGACAACGATTTCGAAATTATTTTATTTGTTTTGTTTAACTATTGATATCGAAAAAAAAACAAACTATTGTCTCTTGTTATATCATTTGTTGATTGCATCGTTAAATTTCCGAATTATTTTGTTGATGATTTTCGTTTCGTTTTGAGAGTAAGAAAAACAGAGGACAAAAAAGAATTATGCCAAAGGCAGGTACGTCCAAAGCGGCAGCCGCATCCAAGGCGCCAAATAAGAAGCCGGCCGTTAAACGAAAGGCAAATGGGTTTCAGAAGCCCGAAAGCATTCCATTGGGTGAAGTCCTAACTGATTTATCGAAGCAACAGTGGAAAATTGGACCATCAATTGGTGCTGGTGGGTTTGGTGAGATTTATTGCGCAACTAAGGCCAGTGAATCGACCAAAAAATACGAAGACTATCCATATGTTGTCAAAGTGGTGAGTGGATTGAAATGAGGATGTGATAGATTAGAAAATTAATAAATTAACTCAATTGTAGGAACCGCACGGCAATGGACCACTTTTTGTTGAAATGCATTTTTATATGCGCAACGGCAAAATGGCAGACAGTAAGTTCAATTGTAATCTTTCGATAAAATATGAACATTCATTTGATTGTGTGTGTTTTCTAGTCGATGCGTTCCGAAAGAAACGCAATCTCAAATCACTTGGAATGCCGCATTTCGTTGGCCACGGATCACACGATCTAAACGACAAAAAGCATCGTTTCATTGTGATGCCACGATTTGGTTCAGATGTCTGCAGTTTATATGTCGAAAATGGCAAAAAGATGCCATTACACACGGCCTATCGTTTGGCCATTCAAATGGTAGGCAATGACAATTTTCACCCATTTGATATTGGGTTATTGAAGAGAAAAAAAAAACATGTTTTGTTTTTGACAGCTTGACGTTTACGAATACATTCACGAGTGCACATACGTTCATGCCGATTTGAAGGGAGCCAATATGCTTCTTGGTTTCGGAAAGAATGGCGGCCATCAAGCGTATTTGGTCGATTTTGGTTTGGCATCACATTACACAACGAAGGATTTTAAGCCAGATCCCAAGAAAATGCACAATGGAACCATCGAATATACGTCACGCGATGCTCATCAGGTATGTATACTACAATACAAAGTCGATTTCACTTCGATTTTGTCGATTCGAGTTTAATATGTTGATTTTGAATTTAGGGCGTTCCAACGATGCGTGGAGACTTCGAAATTCTCGCTTACAATGTGATTCAATGGGCTGGCGGTGATTTGCCATGGGAAAAGAATAAGCTGCTACCAACACCGGCTAAAGTGCAACAGTCTAAGGAAGATCTGATGTCAAACATCGATTCACGTCTGAAAACATGTTTTCCAAACCAACAATGTCCGGGTAACAAAATTGAAAAATCACATTCGCCAAATTAGATTCAATCCAAACATACAAACAGAATGGCTCAATATCACTTTTTTCCCAACCATACAGAACCGATATTCGCTTTCTTGAAATACGTCACAAAAATGAAGTACGACGAAAAACCCGATTACGAAAAGTGTCGCAAGATGTATGTTGATGGTCTAAAATCGCTCGGTAAGACAAACAGCGGTGACCTGGAATTCAAAGTATCGTCTGCGTCAACATCGGCCAAGAAATCATCAGTCGTATCGGTTAGTCCCGTTAAGGAGCAACGACCGAAAGTTGGGCCAAAAGTTGGACGACCACGGGCTGCTGCTGCAAAGGTTGATAATGTAGAAAATATATCGCCAAAAGCAAAGAATTCACGTAAACGTGACACAGCCAATGACTCAAGCGAAGAATCAGCTTCGCCGTCGAAAAAAGTGCGTCAGTCAAACAAAGCATCAACTCAAGTTCGTACCACTAAAGGGTCGAGCCGTACAACGGCAACGACCACATCGAAGGCCGGTTCGTCAGTCGTGGTAAATAATCATGTGAGCCAAGAGAAGAGCAAAAAGAATAAAACATACAATATCAATTTGGATCTAGATATCAGCTTCGATGCCAATGTCGTCGTCAATGTGAAACGGAAGAAGAAAAAATCACCAAAGGAAGAAGTTGAAAGTCCAAATCAGAGCATACAATCGACCGACGAAATTCCACCGAGCGATAAAAGTTTCATTGTGGCAACAAAAGTGTACAAACGAGCACCACGCGCCAGTCCACGAACGAAATAACCATTTCCCATTTTTACACACAATTTCCGAATCTATGCTTATGACGCAAGACTACACTTCAGTTTGATTGCATTTTTCTTTTCTGAGATTGAACAGTAAACATACGCATAAAAATTATCTCAAAATTAAAATACGTATTTCTTAAGTTTGTTTGTTTTTTCTCCACTGTTATTTTCCACTTGCCCTTAAATTTTGGTTTGTTTAAACATGATTGATAAAAAAAAAATAACCTGATCTAAGAATAATAAAAATGAGTTATTGATTTGTCTTATCAGCAGTTGAAATCGTTAATTATTGAGGATTGAAACTTAGTCATCAGTGGCACTTCAGTCTAATCGAACGAATTTAAAAGTACCCCATCATTGAATCAACCACAAATACACCAATCGAATCAATATTTAGAGTGTGTTGGGTGGATGAATATAGGCGAAAAATGTTTCGTTTAACCCTCCCCAACAATGTTTAATTCATAACATTAGGCCATCATAGGTTGCTGTTTACTAATACTAACTACATACAAAGGGGGCTGTCCTTTGTTTTGGTTTCACCGCTAAGAATGACAACTTGTCATCATATCACACATGACCGCAATGTGTTTGTATTGAGCGTGAAGCGAGTCACACATGAACCTGTTCATTTCTGTCAGAAGCTCCAAACCAAAATCATATCGCACTCGGTGCTATATTTTCGTTGCAAAATACAAAGCGAAAAAAAAACACCAACAACAACCAACGAACGAACGGCTTAGGCTAGTAATTGGTTCAAGATAAAATGAAATAAAACACACACTCAGTATTTGATATTCGATGCGAAAACGGACAGACACATGTGTAAAGTTTCCTTGTAATGGCTTGAACGGCACACTTCAATTTAAAATAAAAACAGAGAACCAGCACACATCGTAGAAAATACACATTTTCGTCGATAACAAGCAAATAGACTTCACACTTTCAAGTGGTCGGCGGAAAAATATTTTATTTTGTTTTCGTTTTGTTCAACAACTAAATTGTATAACGATATAAACACATGATAATCGAAATCAATCAAAGTGGACAGTGAACGATCGTTCAGTATTTGTGATAGAAACCAAATAGTCAGAGAGAATTTTATGTGATTTTCAAGCAAAACTTAATTCACTTTTTATACACATCTATCTGATAGTTCGCACCAAATGTTTAGAGAATGAAATTATATTTCAGCAAAATGAAGTTAAATAGTGTTGGTTATTGTTATATTTTCTATGGATTTATTGTGATTGCTGGCGCTACGCTTGTTGAGGACCATTCGGTAAGTTTCGTCAACCACTTGTTATTTGTTTGAGGGAAAAAAAACCAAGAACAAAAAAAACTATCTTAATTGTTGCATACGGTTTTCCCCAAAACTGAAAGTAGTTCGCACAAAAGAATAAAATGTGGGTATATTAAAAATATGTGAAAAATTCCAACCAAAACAAAAAGAAGAACAATTTGACAAATTGTTTTTGCGCAATTAAGATTTGCTGTATCTTATCAATTGAACACCATACAATATCGAAAAACAAAAGGCAAGAAAGAAATAATAATAAATGGGTTCTTTTTATGGTGCTGCGTATAAATGAAGCAAAAAACAGATGATACGTAGAAATGTGTGTCATGTGTGTGATTTGCGTTGTTGTGGTGCACCTACCGAATGTCACGACATGAAAACTCATTCGCTTGGAATTAATCGATTTGGAAAATGTCAATATTTACATCACACCACCATCACCACCCACCGATTTCCAATGAATCTCTGAGATGAAATTTCCATTTTTTCTTTTCATTTTTTTTTCTACGTTTCATTAATTGTTGTCTTTGTCTTTGTCTTTGTCTTTTGCATTTCCACACATATATTTTCGCGTTTGATTTTCAAGCCATGTTGACGTAGAACAATCGATTAAAAAAACACCGACAACACTCATGACATTTATAAATAGAGTCAGTCACTGTGTAAACAAAGTCACGTCACTGGTTTGTGGTGCGAAATTGCGTGTGGCACCTCCATTTGATGTGTGCAGCTTTCTCCATCTGAAAACTGAAATTTCCATTGATTTTCAAATTGGTGGTCTAATTTGAATGTTACAGGCTGATGTAAAGGGAAACCAATGTAAACTCCAAGAACCGGTCTATGGAACACAATTTGATCTCAATCCATTGCATTCGACCGTTGAGCACAAGACTGGAGGCAATGGTAACGATATCATGGAATTCAATGTGTGCAACAAAAATCCAACTAAAGTATGTGCGGGTGCCAAGTCAGCAGCGTGTCTAACTCGAAACGGCAAAGAATATAAATTCGGTAATTTTATTTTTGCTCTGGGAAATATGAAAATTAATTGGTTGTGCTCATTCACGGGGAAATTAATAACTATGGTGATTACGCTTTCTTAAAATACAGGTACACAAGTCGATGCCGAACCTATTTATACGAATGGTCGTATCTATTTCAATTTTACGGGGGATGTTTGCAACAAAAACACCAATGAATCATTCACTCTGCTCATTATCACAACGTGTGACTACTCATCCCATATTCAGAATCCAACTGTTCTAATGCCCTATGTAAGTTGTATGCCCGGTCATTTATCGTGCTTTATGCGCAATAAATGCTTCAATAAATGGTTTTTTATTTGTAATATTTTTCTCTACACTATTGCATGCATCACACAACACACACGCAAACATACAGACCGATGAACAATGCACCTTTGTATTGATGTGGAGAACGAGTGTTGTGTGCCATCCATTGACCGGACCATTGAGCTCAAATACATGTACAGCAAAGGACCCAAAAAGTGATCACGTATTCAATTTGATGCCATTGAGTGATTTCAATCACAAGATTTCATTGAAAAACAATGCCGAATTCTTGATAAACATTTGCAAACCAACGCTATATGGTCACAATGAGATGTGTCCACCGAATACCAGTATTTGCTTCGACCAATCATCCAAGATAAATGTGACAAAGCGATTCAAAAACTATGGCACCACCGCTACCGATCCAACGTACGAGGATGGCAAACTATTTATGAAATTTACATCGCCGGAGAAATGCAACGCTACCGACAAAAATATCACATCCGTCATCAATTTTGTATGCGATGAACTGAATCAGGTAATTCAATAACATTCAATTTGGCTTTAGTTGTATTATATGTATTGTGTGTGTGTGTGTGTGTGTGTCTGTGACCACGAATTCAATAATTTATTGCATTTCAGTTGGGCGAACCAGAATTCATTGGTGAGGCAAATTGTGAATATCGATTTAGATGGGAAACATCGCTAGCTTGCAAAAATGTCACTCCATGCCGTGTAATTGACCCCATCACTGATTTTGTGTAAGGATGAATATGCTGTTTTGTTGAATATACATTTCAAATAGATTTTAATGATTCATTTTGCGTTATTTTACGGCAGCTACGATTTGAAAGAACTGTCTGGCAAACAGTACACTGCACAAAAGGATGAAAAGAAATATGTGTTCGGTGTGTGTACGGAGCCGAAGGAACCATGTAACGGCAGCACTGGGGCTTGTCTGGTGACTGGTGATAAAAACGGGCAATCTTCATCGATGGGCATCGTGAGCAGTGATCTGCAATTGTCTGAAGAGAGTTTCGAGGCTCCGTACCTTCTGTACAAGGGTGGTTCAGTTTGTGGATCATTAGAAACACATTGGACGACCAAAATCGAATTTGCTTGTCAACTGGATGGGATGGCAGCTGGACCAAAGATTATCGAAAATGGCAATTGCTCGCTCATCATTCAATTCGTTACAAAATTGGTTTGCGCACATCAATATGAGGTGAAAACATAATTTCGTTTTTCTTTCCATTCGATTCCAGTGAGAAAACATTGATTCAATTCAATAAGAGAGATAGAGAGAGAGAGAGAGAGAAAAAAATTGCATTGAAAATTGATTTTTTTTCTTTTTCAAAATTAGATTTCATGCAAGGCACACGATGTGTACACTGATCAGCAGATTGACTTAACGTCACTCAAGGGTACGACACACAATTACTTGGCCCGGATAAATGATACAGTAAAATCGAAGCAACCAACCGGAGTATTGGTAGGTTCTCTTTGTATTGAAGTGCGCATTGTTTGAATTAAACCTCGGCAAGTAGTAGTTGATCGATACAAAAGACGCATATCAGGCAAAAATATCAATAAGACCACAGCTATAGATTTCGTCTAGTCATCCAAAATGGATTTTGAAAGTTATTGTCTTGAAATCAATTTTTTCGTTCGTCGATTTCGTTTGTTTGTTTGCTATCAACAACGTTCAATGACCATGCATGAAAATTGAATATTCGTATAGCCGTGTACGAGTCATGAGTGGGAATTTTTGTGCCGCTCCACACTGTGACGAATAGGGCGATATGGTTGATAGAGAATGTGTGTGTGTGTGTATGTGTCAGTCGCTATTGATTTCAATTGTCTATAGCTGGTGGGTTAATCAAGAGAAAATCCCCAACTAAAGGAGTTTTCCTATCTGTTTTTTTTTATTTTCTAAACATCGCCTGATTACGCAGTAAAGGATGGAGTACGGTCACTTCGTTCACTTGAACCTATTTCAATTAAAAGTCCAGCGCATTGCTGTCCAGCTGTCTCAAGTTCCCTCGTCCTTTCATCTGGCCATGTCAATTAATGGAGTTTCAGTTGTGCCGGTTTTTTTTCTGGTTTATATTTACATTAAACAAGATTCAACAAATGCGTCTCAGTTAATTCAATTTCTAATTGCATGTGCTCATATCGTGTATTGTCACGTTCAGCACCCCAAACAATGTGTATATCTATGTATATTTCTGTGGAATTGGCATTACGATTGATGCATTTCACAGCTATTATTTGCTTAAATCGTTTAATTTTTTGCGCTCACTTCACTGCATACGATTTTTTTTCTTCTATCTGTTTGTTTGTTAAAACAATCTATTGCATCTCTTCATTTGCAGTACTATTTGAATGTATGCCGACCGCTCGTACCACAATACGGACTCAGTTGCAACGCTAATTCTGCTGCATGTCGGGCACTATTAAATGGAACAAAAAATCCTGAACAAGAGCAAGTAAATGCATTTGAATCAATCATTCGGTGTTCGTGTTTTTTTTTGCTCTCTGCTGTTTCATTTCTTCGACGTTTGTCAATTTTTTTTTTCGTCTGTGTTCTGTGTCCACGTCAACTCTCATTCATTTTCTATTAGTACATTCAGTGCAAATTATCGATTTTCTTTCAATTTCCTTGAAAAGCCCGTATTTCGACAGCCTGGCTTTGCTGCTTTTTTTCTCTGATTTTTTTTTTGAAAATCAAAATGCAAAAAAGCACATTTCAAACTGTAATGCATATTTTCATTTTCAACTTGATGGATTCTATTGACATGCTGGGTTCGAGCTCAATTTGATTGAATGCAGAGTTGGTTTTTATGTTTGTTTTTTTTTTCATTCTGCTGTTTTCACTGTGAATAGCAAACGGTTGGTTTTTTTATGTGTCTCTTTATTTATGCGCGGAATTTGTTGATTTCTCAGAGTTTGGGATATCCACGAGCATCGTTGACATTTGTAAATACGGACCGTGGATCTAGGCCACAGTTGAAATATTTAGATGGAAGCTTCTGTCCACAGGATAAATCAACAAAATTGTCGTCACAAATTGAATTCTACTGTGATCCATCGGTTGGAAAGGTATATATTGCATTCTTTATTTCATTCATTTTGATTATGTATATTGAAATTCATATCGCTTTGTTTGACAATAATACCATTGAAATGGTCGTGTCTAGGGAACGCCAATTTTGCAAGGAATTTCCAATGAATGTCATTATGAATTTGAATGGCCCACAAATATCATGTGCCCCACTCATACTGGTGAATTCCTTGGAAAAACCTGCGAAATACACAACAGCCAAATCAACAAAAGTCTCAATCTGCATGACATTTTCCCAAATGGTTTATTAACGGTAAGCAATCCTGAAAATATATATATCCATTTTATGATGAATGTCCAAATATTTGTTGTTCTGAATATAATGCCAATTTCGATGATTCATTCATTCAGACACTTTTCAACTGTCTCTTCATATTTCTCTACAGATTGATTACGCGGGCAAACCCATGGAAATAGATTTGTGCAAAAACAGCAAGAACATTGAAATAGACTACACTCAGAGCACTGTAAAACTGTTTTACGATGAAAAAGCCTCATGTGGAAAATACTGTAAGCAAATTATAATTATTTCCGTCATATTTTTGTTGTTGTTATTGTTGTTGTTGCCTTCTCACTGGATCACTTCAGAATTCATGGACACTGCACACTGCACACTGCACACTGCACACTGCACACTGCACACTGCACACTGCACACTTTATGCGTTCTGATTGAATATGGAAATTTTTGCCACCGCTGTCGGTGTCTGGATAAGAAAAAAATTTCCATAAATTTCAATACCTTGCTTTCGAGACTGATAAAAGTGAGGAAGAAAAAAAAACCACAAACACTAACATAAAGCGAGTTTCTGAGGTGCATAATTTCATTTTTAGACATTTTTTTCTGCTACTTTTCGACAACAAGAAAAGCCCCATAGGTGAAATGCAAATAAAAATTTCATACACTTTTATTCTGGATGAATCAAATTGCCTTTGTGGATTTTTCTTCATATTTATGCTTTCGATGTATTTTTTTCCTACTTGTTATATTAATGCAATGTTTTTTTTTCCATTATATTCATTCATCGTTTTTGTGCATTCGGGAACAACAACAACTTCAACTACAACGACCACGAAAAAAAAACGGCTTTTGGATCTTCATAACTGTTGGTACTGTCACTGGCATGTCGCCCGCCAAAACCGTCGTTTGTCGTCATCCATGTTCGTCGTCATACCGCTGTTATATCCATATCATCGTTGACAAAATTCTACATATGCAAACGTACGTATGGCATGCCTTTTGTATTGCAGCTACCATTAACGTAGAGATGCGGCTTGTTTGCAATGAGATTCAATCCCGTACTTTCACTATTGATGTAAGTCGAAGTACCCTTATTATTATATCTTCATATTTTTTTTATGCAAACATTATGTCCTCTAGTTTTTTGTGTTGCGCTTTTTTCCATGTCTATGCTAATATTTTCTTGTTTTCTTTTATGGCCCTTTTTTCCTTGTTGTTCTTTATGAAACGAGCGAGAGAGAGAGAGAGAGAAAGGAAGAAAGAAAAACCTTCTCTCGATCCTCTTTGCGACATACCAGGCTTATGTGCTCGCTTTCTCTGCCTGTCGCTCAATCTGTCCTTTTTTTCCACTATCGTTTGGCATAAGATTGCCTTTGATTCTTTGCTCTTATCATTCATCGGAGGCTTTCAATAGATTAGTTTTTTTTTATTGCCAAGACAAATAGATTTTCTTAAAAATATTTTCTCATACATTTTGTTTTGTGCCAGATTTTTGATCTAATTCGATGATGCCATTGCTGTTACTTTTGCCGGAACGATGGCGTTGTTTTCGCATCGCATATGAGCCATATAATAAAATAATAAGGATTTCCCGTTTCTATGTATGCACGCTGTTTTTCTTCTCTGTGTCTCTATCTTTCTCGGTCGCTTTCCCGCTCTCTTGCTTTCTCTCTCTCTCTCTGTCTCGTTCGCCGGATACGGGTTCGAAAACAATATACTTATATTTTTCTGTGATATGGATTAGATGGGCACAGACGGCAAAAGATGTTGTGTTGGCTCAGCATTTCATATAATTTGTTTTCCGTCGTTCGCCATGGCTTTTCATTCATTGTAAGCCGTATTATTGTACCCGAGAAAGAAAAAACTTACACACACACACACACACACACATCTCGGCAGGAAAACATGATGTGGCGCACACGGTTTCTTTTTGTCGTCCACTATTCAGTCTCTTTCACTCTCTCTCTACGTGTGTATGTTTTTTATAAGCATCATCCAAACATTTACTGCCGACAGCATGATAAAAATGGTCACTATTTGTACTTTTGTAATCTGTTTTGATGTTTATGACGATAATATCTTAATAAACTCTCAAGACATCATGATATAGACTTGGATATGGTGGCACACGCAACCAAGTGTGCACCAAATGACCGGCAATATATTTCGCCGTATCGATAACAATGATGAATCAATGCTCCATGTACACACTCCAACGACAAACCAATGCCATCGACTGTGCATAATCCCAAATTCAGAATGAATGTCTTTCTTTGTGTGGATCTCTGTGGACGATTCAAAAAGGAAGCACAAACTGCTGCCGACCAAAGAGTACACACTCGAAGCGGATCGAACCGGGGTACCAACGAAAAAAACATGGCAGAGGAAAAAAAATCATCTCTTGTCCATCCTGTTCCATACTCTAATAAATTATGCATTCGAATTTAACCAAGTGAATTTGAATTTCGCAAACTTACCATAACGAACCACATCAACATCATTATGTTGATTTCTTGTTTCGTTCGATCGTCTCCGTATTTTTTGCTCGTCAACTAATAGCCAAGCCAAATTTAATTTCAAAATGAACTGGTGAAGTGGATAAAAAGTATTGCAAATTCAAAATGTTGTGACCATATTGGGGGGTGTACCAGGCGCATATCTGACTTTCCCATCGTTTCGATTCTTTCTCACTGTTGATTTGAAGTTCACTGAACCTTCAATATGCTTGAGGCTCCCTCCATTTTTAGTTTACTTATGCAAGTTGATGACATCACCCCATATATACTGCTGTATCAGCACTTTTCAGAACTCTTTTCCATTCTATTTGCATTTCAATACTTTTTTGTGTTGTCATTCCATCTGTTTGCCATCGGCAATAAGGGTTCCTTGCTTGCATGAAGCATCAACGAGTGCAGAAAAAAAAGAATTGTGTGTCCCATGCAATTGAATTACTTCTGAAGATTACATTCAATGAATCAAATAAATTTCTAAGCAGCTCTTTTTCAAATGAATTTTATTGCATTTCACAATTACATTTTCGCTTGAGGCACAACTCTTGTCTCTGTCTCTGTCTCTGTTTCTGTCTCTTTCGAGAGGAAAAAAAAATTAGAACAACTTTAGTTCAAACATTGAACAATAAAACTAAATTGCGACCAAAAAATGGTACTGTCATTTGGAGCTCAAATTATGGAAGCAGAATGATGACTACTATGCTATAAGACAATATAATGGATTTTTGTTCCCTAGAAAAAAAATACAAGCTTCTAAAAATCTCATCATTCGGAATATGAATTAAGTACTCTCAGTTTCGGATGGAAACAAAATTAAACCTAAGTCAAATGTCGTCAATTTTATAATTCTTCAACATTTTCGACTTTTTTGTGATTTTCTTTGGTTTTGAAATAATCTGGATTTGCGATGGCTAATCGTAGTTTATTGAAGAATCGTTGTTCGATTTTCATTTTTTTCTCAGGCTGTTTTGGTTCTTCATCCCATTGCAAGTAGATGTTTGATTTCAAGTATGGCTTCAGATCGGATATGCAATCTTTGGTACAACCAAGGTCTCCTTTTTTGATGATTATAACACGTGGTATTTGTTCGGTCATCGCATTTCCATGTGCAAGACGAAATCCACCAAAAGCCCAAATGTCCAAATCTGTTCAACGAAAAACAAACACATAAAACTAAATACCATAAGTAACATAGCTTGGGGGAAAACCGAGACCAACATAAATCGTAAAGAATGGTGTCTTACCTGAAAAAGCCGCTTTCGGTTGTGTTTGTTGAAATTTCTTGAAGTATTCAATGAGGTTTGGTGTTAGGACGATAATTGTTCGGCGTGATTGGTCCACACATTTGGCCATCTAGTTTTTTTTTATTTAGTCAGAAAACAAGAGATAAATTTGAATTAAGTATTTGTCATAAATCGAAAAGTGTTGAAATAATTTGAACTAGACTTCAAACTTAGTTGTAAATACTTTGAATTCTACGAAATGCTTACCTGTTCTGGGATGTAGTCACCACCATGCATTTCTCGCACCAATAAGCAGATTTTCAATGGCTTTGGTCCATTTTCCAATTGTGGCATCAGATTTTCGGCAACAAATTTCTCATCAAATGTTGAGTACAAGATGAGTGCATCGTATTTTTTGTGGTCATCATTTTTGGATGTGTCGTGAAACAGCCATTTGAATTGATTGTGAGCGAATAGCCACACCAGGATTTCTTCATAATTTTTGTAGTAAAGTGTGGACAAAAGAAAAATGATGGCAAAAAAGACAGAAATGGTAAGGAATGCGGTAACCACTATGGCTGTTGTCGTGATCGGACATAAATTTGAACTGGCATCGATCAGGCTGATCGATTTATCGTTTTCACAGGTGATTTCATTGATGCCCACAATTTTGCCCACATGATTTTTGATAAAGTTCATCAGTTCGTATGTAGCACAGTCACAAATCCACGGATTTTGGCCAAACGAAACGTTTCGCAGACTCGGCATATGTTGAAGTTTATACAAAACATCGGGAGCCAATCTTTTCAATTTATTTGCCGATAAGTCCAATTCGAATAGATTATTCGGCAAATATTCGCTTGAGATATTCACGATGGAATTGTTCTTAGCAAATATGCGATACACATGATCGTAACCCGTTGAATTGGTCGTGGCCAGTGTGCTGATGTTATTGTTTTCGATGTGCAATTCATAGAATTGCAAGCCCAAACTCTTAATGCTCGGCAATGTGGGCACTTTCGTTAGATTAGCATTCGAACAATTGAACACGGCCGTGCTATCAAAGGTGCGAACGAAACACAAACATTTATCCGGGCATCGTTTTTTATTGGCATTCTTCTTATCAAGCGGACATGTTAATTCGACAAGTGGTACTGTTTCGGGCCGTTGGTTGGCAAAACGTAACGGTGATGCACATTCCAATTGGTTTGTGATGAATTTGGTGCGTGAATTATGCGTGCGGTGTTCTTGATTTCGCAACGAATTTAAAAAATGAACGACTAAACAATCACAATTCAATGGATTGTGGTTTAATATCCAAACAACTTGGGATTGTGTTCGATTCGGCATGAAATCTTTATCAGCACTCATTGTACTAATCTGATTATTCGATAGATTTATCACAATGCTATCGTTCCAATTATTGAAAATATTCCGAAAATGAATCATTTTGATTTCATTGTAGCTCACATCGAGGTTTTTTAGCGCTACATTCGAAATATGCCAATCATTTAAAAATGTACGCATCGAATTGTTCCTCATATTTAATACTTGAAGTTGTTTCAACATTTGAAATGGTGATGCCCGTTCAACATCCCACAACACAGTCTCATCGATATTTTCAAATTCCAAGTAATTGTTCTGCAGATGCAAGACTCGAATGCTGGTGCCATCGAACGCCGCCATATGTACTGTATGCAAATCGTTGTTGTCCAAATACAATTCCTGCAGAGCCTTTAGCTCAGATAGTAAATTACTGAAAATAATAAACAAACAAATAAATAAAAAAAAGCGGGTCATTTAAGTCATTTGTACTGGGGAATTCCCGTTAGTCAAATGACAAGCAAAGGGATTAATAGATATTAGAATGCCGTTAAACCGGACACGAACCAATAAAATAACAGGTACCTAAAAGTACCATGCATTGCAGAAGAAAATTCAAAGGGAAATTCCCACAGAAATCGTAAAACAATTGGGTAAATAGTGCAAATTTGAAAAAAAACAAACAAAAACGACAACAACAACAAAAACTGTCAGCGGCCATAAAGTCTCATTTCCATACTAATCGCTTATCAGTTGCTGTTTTATTACATAGTCAATAACGGTTGTAATTTGTCGAGAAAAAAAATTCCCAACCAGTATGTTCAATGGATTCCTTACCTTGATATGTTACTGAGTCGATTGTGCGACAAACGTAATACGGTCAAGCGGATTGTTTCGTCAAACAGGTTGTCGTCAAGTTCCAGCAACTGGTTGAAACTCATATCCAAATCGAGTAAATGCGATTGATGCCAAAGAATCGTTTTCGGCATGCTTGTCAAATTGTTGTACGCCAACGAAATATTCCGTAAATTCGTTGATTCTATGAACAAGTCATCGGGTAAACTGGTTAAATTGCAATTGTTGATCCAAACTGCTGTGAGCTGTGGTAATCGTCCAAACAGCTGTGCTGGTAATGCATTCGATTTTAAGTGATTACCGCTCATTCTAATCTTCTTTAGTGCTTTGTTCTTGTTGAAAATTTGTCGTGGATACGTATTTATTCGATTGCCATTCAAATCAATGCTCTCTAGAGCCGTTAGGTACGTAAACACATCCGATGACAGCTCATCGATATCATTGGAACTTATCTCCAAATCGATGACTGATGAAATGCCAGCAAACATTTCTTTTGATACATTTCTCAAATTATTATTCCACAATTGCAATCGCTTCAATTTGGATAAATCACGAAAAATGCCGTCGATTGAATTGCTTAGATCGGTCGAGCTAATTTGTAAATATTCCAAATTGTGAAGACTTTGGAAAATATTTGACGGCAAACGCATTTTATCCGATCGCAAATACAGCGATGTGACATTTCCAATGTTTGCAAACAATCGCTCTGGCAATGTGTGCACTTTGGTTGATGTGCTCGACGGGCTTCGTGCAAAAAATATCAATGTGTGTACATTTCGAATGCCGAGCCGCTGGAAAACACTGTGAACGCTTGTGTTGGCTGCTGTTGACCTCGTCGTCGGGCAACCGTTGAATTTTACCACCTCTGATTCGCCAATGTTCCACTCGGGCAAATGATTAAAAATCTCAGTGTCGTCTGAATTGCACTCAATCTCAACGCGATTTGTTGATCGTTGTGGTTCGACTCGTAGCGTAATATTTGCATTAATTCGATTTGGACATGCGATTTCGTAGTGCGTACTAATCGAACACTCGCAATGTGTCACACTTGGGCAATTCAATTCATTTTGCATCTCACGCGGAAAACTAAACACACGATAGTTTGTTATAATCACAAATAACAGGGTCACAAGGGACCAACGACACAATTTAGACATTTTGAACGATCAAATTTTGAGCGAATAATTATGCAGATGCTGATTCTTAAGAGTGTGTGACTTGACTCGAGCACATTTGAAACAAGACTGATACAATACCTCTTGCTAATTTACCTATTAAATGAATGCGCCGGCTGCCAAAATGAAGTAGATGGCGTTCACAGCTGAAATGTCAAAGATGGACAAAAAGAGAAAGAGAAACAAAAAACACCGTTGCAGGGTGCGCTCAGGTGTAGAACAAAACAAAGCCGCAGGGTTTTTTGTTTTTACATTTCATCATTGTTATTCATATCATATTTTATTTGAAGTATAAAATCTTAAACATTTTACATTTATCAACTTGTGGATATTCTTCTTTTTCTTGTTTTTTTGTCCATTTGATATAACATCAGAGATTTCCATTCTATTCGATAAACCAGGAATCATTCTCACTGTTTGTATATTGTTCATGTTTTCTTTTCTCACTTAACACAAAGTATTCTGTTTGAATATTCCATAACTGAATCCGTATACGTAAATTAAATAAATTAATTTTGCAAACACTTAGATGAAAATTCGAAAGATGCGAAAATTGTCAACGGGCAATTTTGTTCTTTTTGTTCTGTTTTGAGACAGAGAATGCTGGTGAATGACTCAATCAGAAGATATCTCAATGCAAATCACACATTGAATTGATTTCACTGAGTCGAGAGAAAAAAATCGACCGAAAATATCATAAAAGTCAGTATCATTCTAAGCGATTGATTCATAAATCTGATGTTCCATTTTCTTTTGTCATTTGTTTTTATTTCTAACTAACCGGAAAAAAAAGAAAGCAAATTTTCAATAATGTCTTAACGGCATGAATTAAACGGCATTGTTTTTAACAAAAAGGCAGAATTTAAATTAATTTTTTGTTTTGTTTTGTTTTCTGAAAATGTGGGTTGCATCAAAGCAAATCGAACAAATCATGCGCATTGATTGACTCTACGCAATTGATGTGAAATCAAGGCGAAAATCATGATTATGTTGTTGTATGAACCAATTAGCATCAAGCGATTGTTCAATGTTCTAGATTAGCAAATAATTAGTCTCGAATTGTGTGTTGTGTTTCGAATCAAAGTTCATCGACTTATAACATAGGTAATTGAGAATCTAAACCTAAGAAAAAAAGGATTTTTTTTTTCATTTCATTCCATTTTTTTTTGTTTATTTGTTTGTCTAATTTCTTGTTTATCACAATGCATTTTCTCGATAATGAACTGATAAAAAGAGTCTTCAGGTTTTTGACGAAGTTTCATGCAAATTCGAAAATACACTTTGCTTTTCGTCCGTTCATTTCGTATCATTTTGCATGGAAGATAATCAGCTAAGTTGCTTCGTTTGTTTGAGTTTTTGAGTGATGAAATTCGGGAAGATGTTCGAAGTGACGATTGATAGCAAACTTAATTCAAAATAACAACAAAACTCTTTTTGTTGTTTTCTTGTTCAATCATTTTCCTTTACTTTGCATATATATTTGAATAGTTCCGCGTTCATTTTGCAGCAAGATTATAAATTAAATATATATATATATATAATTTGTGTTGTTGTTGATTTCTTTTGTGTTGTCTATTTGTAAATTAGCTATAAATAACGCTGAAACTTATACAAGCTACGGCTGTCTTCTATATGTTAAATGTTTTACAATCTACGACATGACACATTATGGTCATTGGACTTAAATGCTAAATTGTCTCTGTGTTTTTTCCTCTCATATTTACAATAGGAGTTGTTTTATTTGATTCTGTGTATATTCTTTTGTCATTCTTCTCCCAAATTTCATTCTCATTTCATTTCTCTTCTATTATTAAAATAAAATATTCGTGGGTCGGTGTCATGCATTTCGGAATTTTTTTTTTCTCGTCCAATTGATTTTACTTGTCGCATTTTCGTCACTCTACATTTTCTCTTTCTGAATGCGATTTTTTGTCTGTTCACTTAAAAGTTAATTACACATCACTTTGCTTAGCGTTTGTATTTATAATAAATGCACCGTTTACGTGTCCGTTGAGCCCATTCAAACCCGAATGGTATTTGGCATTGTCGCCGTTTAATTTGCCAATCAATGGATTGTGTCCGGCTTGTTCGGCTGGTGGTGTTGTCAATGGTGGTGTCACCGCTTGTGGTTTTATCAGCTCCAATTTGTCATCGATTGAACTTTTCATGGTTGATTTGATGAGCCCTTTTGATTTATAATTGGTTGGATGTGGCATTGCGTAGCGAAGTTTATCGAAAAACCATGGGTCACCCCATTTGACATAGGTATTGGTTTTCAAATAGCATTTCAGTTCGGGATCCAATTTTTCAATATCACCAATATCACCATAGATGATAACAATTAATCGTGCACGTCCTTCGGCTAAGGCATTTTTGTGCGCCGCCCGGAACTCCATTCGTCCCCAAATTGAATCGATGAAATTTGGTGTGAGCACGACTATTGTACGGCGTGAATCTTCTACAGATTTGGATATCTATTGGTTTTTTTTTTTATGAAAAAAGAAGAAGAAGAAAATGACGGAAAAAAACGAAACAGAGAATTAGTCATTGAATATCAATCGGATGGGTGTAAAACATATGGATATAAACTAAAGAGGCAATTCAACATATACACTTCGATTACAATAGAAGTAGTATAGCAAAAACAGATATGTTTTATTTTGTTCAGTTTGACATAGCAACACAGTGAAGCGAACAGTTAGGGTGGCATACAACATGAGTCTTACGATGAAAATCCAACAAAACAGAAGATGAAAAACCATAAACAAAAACTAGAGAATACAGTTTTCATAGAGATACGATAGTGATTATATTCTATTCGACACAAATGAAATAAAGAACAACACAACTTTAAGGAAAATACGACAAAAACCAAGAAGGAACTGATAAAAATGAAACAATAAAGTAGAAGGGGTGGTTATCAGTTTTGATTGTTCAACGAAAAACAGAGTATAAGATGCAGTGGTGCGCAGAAAATTGGTTACTATAACATTGGTTTTGGTACGGTGTGAACACAGAATTACATGTACATTTATGAAGCCGATATACTAAAGATTTTGTTTGATATTTTACCTATTCTTCTTTTTTACGTCTATCGTCTTTACATTATTTTGAATACGCCAAGAGAAAACAAACAACACGATTAGAAATGTTAACGATTTTTGGTTATTTCGAAAAATATTTTATGGAAAATTCAACGAAAAATGTAGAATTTCCCCAAAATAAAACCAAACAGAACAGGTTAGTAAGACAAAAATCTAGAAAAAATAACCTAGTCGCCCGAAAGAGATTGCGAATAAAATGCAAAAAGAGAATCATATCATTGTTTACATTACCTGATTTGGAATGAACTCTCCGACGACCCAATCGCGGAAGTGCAAGCATATTTTGAATGGATGTGACCCGTTCTCTAGTTCAGGTACTAACTGCTCCGTAACAAAATCTTCGTCTTTGTGCGAAAATGAAATGAATGCATCGTACTTCTTGTCCTTGTCCAGTTCCTCTTCGGTGACAAACCACAAGCATAAATTGTGTGCGAATAGCCAAACTTTCACCTCTTGTTGGTATTTGTAGTACAGTGCAATAACGGCACCGATAAAAAGTCCAAGCAATCCAATCAAAACGCACACCAATATTAAAATGGTCCGATCTATTGGACACACTTCGCTTAAATCACGAACATAACTGCCGTCACTGCATGTGATATTCCCGTAATCGACTTTCTTTGGATGCATTCGAACATATCGCATGAAATCGCTATTGCATTTGCATTGCCATGGATTTCCGGTCAAAGTCAATGATCGAAGTGATCCCGTGTAATTGAGACGCATCAAAACTGTGCCATCAAGCGTTTGCAGTTTATTCCGTGAAATATCCAATGTCGTTAAATTCAGTGGTAAATTTTCATGTGACACATGCATGATGGAATTATTGCGTGCATTGATCTTGGTAACCATGTCATATCCCGGTTCACTATAATTTGGCAATGCCATAATGTGATTGTTTTCGATATTCAATTCATATTTTTGCAGCGTTTTGAGTGGTGGCAATGCTGGCACTTCAATTAAACCAGCGTTTGAGCAGTTGAAAATGCCAGTATCGTCGCTGGTTCGTACCCAACATTCGCACATCGATGGGCAGTATTTGTTGTTGGTCTTTGGGCTATCCAATGGGCATAGCAAATCGTCCAATTTCACATTTCTGACCAGTTGATTCTGTAGTTTCTCGGGTGTTGCGCATCGCAATTCATCGGTGATCAGCTTTAAGAATCGTTCAATCGATGGTTTTTCTCGTAAAAATTTCGCCGTCAACATTATACTACAATCGCAATCGATTGGATTGTAATTCAATAGCCATTTCCACAGTAGATTTGGCTGTGTATCGACTATTGATTCGGCTGTTGCAATCAAATCGTCCAAAACGAGTGCGTACTCAGTTTTATCGGTGTAGATTCCCTTGATGTGATTATGTGTCAAATTCACTGTAATCGGTTGATTCCAAATCGATAGAATTTGCATCAGATTAATCGCTTGAATCTGATTGTGGCTCAAGTCGAGCAGTTCCAATTGTGTATTGTGCAGACTCCATTCGTTGGAGAACTCTTTAATCGAATTGTTGCGTAAGTTTAACCGAATCAATTTGCCGGTGTGTTCGAATGGTGAATAATTTGACTTATCTCCTTGTTGCATTGGAATATCTTTTTGCAATGGATTCGGCATTTGCTTGACAATGTCGAGGCGATTGTTTTCCAAATTTATTATTTGTAAGTTCGTATGCTTGAATGCGTCCCGATGGATGGTGTGCAATCGATTGTTGTCCAGATAAAGTTCAGTCAGTTTACGCAAACCAAAGAATAGTTTCCTGTTACGAAAAAAGAAACAAGAGAAAGAGAAACAAAATCAATATTTAAATTAGATTAAAACGTTCATTCCGACTAAATAAATTGCATTTGCGACGACATCAATTTTACACAAGCATTTTTGATGCGCGCCCGCCCGCCAACAGCAACACAACATGCACACAGACACACACAATGATGCTGTTGTGTTTAGTTCCAAACATCGATTTCGATTTATTTGCAATCAGCTTATTTTTGTTCTTCCTCATCTCCACACTTGCTGCCCCATTTGTTCGGAGATGCTTGGTGTCAAGTGTAAATCTGGTGTAAGTCGTACTCGACTGTTGTTGTTTTTCTAGTTTTTTTTTTCGTCCCATCCACTGTTGCCATATTCGAGATGCACATTCGATTTTAAGTGCAACAAAGTTGAACACAAAGTGAGATTTACAGCTTGCTTTTTGGTTTTGTATGCACTTGAAATTGTGTATACGTTTTTCTCGTGAATGCTCGAAAAATCTAGTGGCGCACAATTGAAAATTGGTGTTGAATTTATAAGGATTGTCCGAAAAATTATTGGCTTCAAGCGACAATCGGACAGAAACAAATTGGGTGGTCCGATTGCACGGAAATGAATTTAAAGCGCGCCCAATCGCTCAACAATCATTGAACTTCGACACTCCGAATGAGAGGATACGGAAAAAATGGACACATTAAATTTACATTATCGATGCAGGGAGAGAGAGATAGAGAAAGAGCGGTAGAGGATGTTGAAAACCAAAGTTGAATAGGAGCACTGAGTGACTATACAGAAAAATGGACTCGAGACCTCCCAACGCAAAATCTGATACAATGGTGTCGGTACGCTTGTGATACACATGAATCTACTTCATCAAAGATATCGAACCAGCCTGTAATTACATGCCGAGCAATTTCGTTTATTAATTCGTCAAATGTTGATGAAAACGCCATTTCCGCATTTGCTTCAATTACAATTCACTTCACTCTTTTGTTGTTGGTTTTCTTTTTGTCGATATTAATGCATTTGGTCGTTTGCCAACCTCTTATTATCGAAATGCATCTTTGAGAAATACAAAATATGCTTAGAGACTTTTTCTACCTGATATCATCAGCTTAGGGTTTTTATTTTCACTTGTTTTCATCACTCAGCGAGAGTGTGAGTATATATAGATGTTTTCGTCAATGGGAATGCAATTATAAAGAAATTTACGCCATAATCATCGGTTGTGTTGCATTTTATTCGACTAGTGTAAACAATAGAGTCTGCTGCGGCAATACAATGCGTATGTTATTTGACCAGGGCACACACGGGAAAAATGTGCAGACAAAAACGATGCCGTAAGTTATACACCACACACACACACACACAAACACCTCGTACACATTCAAACACAAAAAATGAAGCAATGAATAAACAAATTCACAGTCTGACATATCGATAGACTGTAACAAATTGATGCTAACACATTCGCAGACATAAGAAAATCGACACTAAATAAGTCATCGTCGTTTGCCGCCCTGACCTGGCCCTCTGCCTCTGCACACACAATGCATGCTCTAACATCTTTGTTCTTTTCTTTGACTTTATTTATATTTGAAATTATCATCGTTACATAAATTAATCTTGGAAGAACACATTTTCCAATGCATTTTTTTTCTCTCACTCTCTTTCAATTCCCATTCGTGTGTGTGCACTTCGTTTTAGTTGTTTCGAATTATTTTTTCTTCTTTTTTTTTGGAAACGAAGCGAAACGAAACTCGAAGATGCAAGTGAGATAATGATGGACATCGATATGGATGTTAACGAAATGGAAACGAAAGTAAAAACAAATGCATGCTCATTTTTTTTACCTGTCGCTAGCCGAGATGTCGAATCGTCGATGTTGTTTAGTAAAAAAAAGGGATAAAATAATTGATCAATATTAATGATCAACAAGTTTTTCTAGTTCTAGTCTCTGAATATGGCCGGGGCCGGTGAATGCAGCAATGATGCATTTTTGTGAACCGAACCAAGTTTATTTCTTAATTTCGAAACGCATTTTCAACTTAATGATCTTTTCGCCTTACAACTCAATTGAGATTGGGGAATTTATGTTTCAGGATCGGTTTTTTGTTCTCACTTGCTCTCTTCTTTCAATTCTCTCTTCAACTTTGTTGTTTAAACGCGGGGAATTTTCTCAGCGTTATTTCTCTTATTCTTTTTTCTATCCGAATAGAAAACCGAGCGAAGTGAATTCTTTGAATCGTTGCTTGTGACTTTTTTTATTGTTGAAAAGAACTTTGTGAACAAGTATTGTGTTGCGATGAAATTCGTGAACGAAAAAGAAAAAAAAGAAGAACAAGTTGATGAAAAAAAAAACCTCGTAAAAATGGGACACATCAACTCTCATACATCTATTCGTATATTGTTCGCTTCATTTGGAACTAAGAAAAATGATTGAAATTGAGTGCGCCTACTCATCTGTCGATTCAACATACAATGGCCCCATCTACACAAAATGTTGTAGATGAATTTTTGTCATTGTAAAATGATGAGTTCTATGGCTATTATTTATCAAGAGAAGAAAAAAAACACACGAATGAAATTGTTTGAGGAAATAAATATGTAAGCGCGACTTAGCGGGCGTACTAAGAATGCATGGTGAATTGCGATAGAGCTGTTGAAAAGTCACATGTTATGCCCGAGATGAAGAAAGTGAGATTGAGATGGAAGTGTGTGCGCATCACACTCATACAAGGAATAAGAAGATGAAATTTCTTTTTTGACAGGTATATTTGTTTGACACAGAAAAATTACAGTCGAGCTAAGAGAGAATGAAGAAAAAAAAAGATCCAAATGATTTATTACGGAAAAAGATGACACAAAGTATGCCGAGAATTGGATTGTCCAGAATGCGAATGCAGAGACAGACCAATTTAAGTGTAATAAAAAAAAAATGAGAGAGGCAGAGAGGAATAGATAGAACAAAAACACATTGAGCCGAATACGAATTCGTTTCAGCTGGGCCAGTGGTTGCGAGCGAGTGTTTGTTTTTTTTTGTTGTTGTCTTCATTTCTTGTGTATCATCTGCGAATTCGAAGGATAGGGAAAAAGTCATTATGCAGCACAATCAAAGTGCTTGATGAAAAAGTTGAAACTTCACTAGGCTACCAAAAAGACTGAGCAGCAAACAACTTTTTCCAAAAGAGAAAAGGACCGTGCAACACCTGTTTTTCCCTTCTTTTGTGAAACAAACACAGAATGAGAGCTCGTCTCCATTGGGCTATAAAAAAAATGAAATAATGTTGAAAAACCAACCGTCCTTTTGGTTTCTATTGTCATGCTGTTTGTAGGCTTTTGTTTTGTATTAGACACACACACCACTGTGTCGTTTATTATTTCTTGGCCACTGTTTGAACGAAATGGACGAGTGTTCTCGCTACGAAAAATCGTTGCGCTAAAATACACAAAAACCGATCTGGTAATAATATGCTGTCCCTAAAATGTATATTGTGGTTTCGTTACACAGAAAAAAATTGGAGCAAACGGACATGCTGCATGTAGGTGTGTGCATGCGAAAAATGAATGCAGCATAAGTGAAAGCGTCTACAATGGCGTATATTATAATGTGCGCCGTATATAGCTACACACATAGAGATAGCTAAAGAAATAAAGTGCTAACAAGTGGATGCCGGATAACGATAACAATGTAATTTTCATGTTTCACGTATGAACCGAAATGCAATGGGTACCATTTTTGCACATTAAATGCATGAGAAGCCACTTTTTTCCACCGTTCTATTTACTTTTTCCACCCAACAAATTGCCGTTGATGTTGACAATGTTGCTGACACATCTTTTCACAAGTGCACACCAAACTTCTCGAGTACAGTCATTTTGCTGGCACTCATTAGGGTGAAACAAGAGCAACAAAAAATTAGCAAACTCGGGAATTGCTTCAGTTTGCATTTGAGTATGCTGGAGATGCTTTGAAACTGTTATTTTTCTGTTTTTCGTCGATAAACCGACAATCGATGTGGAGCCTTGATTCTTTGCATCATTTCTAGTGTCTTCAAAAGAGAAAAAAAGCAACAAAAAAATGTAAACTTACGCTGGTATTTCGTGTAGATTATTATTCGACAGACGAATGACAACCAATTTCTGTGTGCCGTTGAACAGATAGTCCGGTAATTCCGTTAATTTATTGTCGCTCAAGTCCAAATCCATCAAATTGGTTTGGCTGCTGAGCAAGGCGGCGGGAAGCGTTGTCAGTTTGTTTGATTGCAACGAAATATTTTGTATATTCGACGATCCATTAAACAGGTCTTCCGGCACCGATTGAATATTACAGCGAATCAGCACTTCTACGAGTTGGGGTAAATCGGCCAAAAGGCCGCTGGGCAACATTTTCAAATCGATGCGATTGTACATTAAACGAAAGCGATTGAGTCTCTTATTTCGGCTGAACAGTCCGACTGGCAATTCAATGAATCGATTGCTGCTGAGATTGATATTCTCCAATTTTTCAAAGTATTCAAACACATTCGATTGCAGCACTTCAATGTTGTTATTACTCAAATCTAATTCCGTCACCGATTTAGCGCCAGCAAATGATTCTTTTGTCAAGTTCTTCAAATTATTCGTCCATAAATTTAATCGCTTCAAATTCTGTTGACTGCTAAAAATATTCGGCGCCAAATGGCTCAAATTATTCGATCCAAGCTCGAGATACTCCAAATTGCCCAAATACTTGAAGATATTGGATGGTAGGTGAACATTGTTTGAGCGTAGTTCCAATGTGGTTATATTACTGACACCGTTGAATGCATCTTCGGGCAAATCGGAAATTGGCCCGTTGAACCGCAAATTACGCACCGAACTCAAGCCGCTCAACTGTTCGCGACGCATTTGCATATCCGATCGACTGGAAAATGTCAACGTTTGAACGCGATCAATGCCCAGTTTATCCACAATCACACCTTTTATCGTCGTTCCTTCGGGCAATGGGCAATATTTGAATTTAACATGGTCTATGACGCCGGCGCTCAGATTTGATAGCTTCAGATCCGGTAAAAGTGTATAGATTCTACGGTTGCTATTGTAATTGCATTCAATTTCCACGCGATGCAGTTCCACACGTAGCACAATACTTGGATTATCTCTGGGGCACTCCACTTCGAATTCAGCACCATTGAAACAGGCACACGACGATGTGTTTATACCACTGCACGCATCTTCTCGAATCGCAAATGCATTCCCCAATGCACAGATGCCCAACAATGTGAATAAAATCACAAGTGGCATACCACTTTGTTGTCTCAACTCCATTTTCTTCGTTTCCACTTTTCTTTTCTCGATTTGCTTCACTTGACGAATGTAATTTTGGATGGATGCTTCGAAAAACTAAAACGAATCACGTTGATTTTCTTCCTTGAAATATCATAAATCAATTTTTTGTGTCTTCTGATTTAAGTCCGTTCTCGTCCAGTTCAATTATTTCAAATCTGTAAAAGAAGAAAGAGAAAAGCATATTTCATTAGAAATGATGTTTATATTCGGTTCATTCATGTTTGATTTATGCATTGTTAAACAAATGATGTCGTCTAAGCAGAAAACAATTGGCTATAATAAAAGGATTTCTTACTGAAGCTCATAAAAAACAAATAATTTAAACAACTGTATGAATTCATCCTTCGAAGGGACCAAGCTTGCAGAAGACAGTCAAGCCGGTGTAAATTTGCGCAATTTTCACAATTAACTGAGTTTAATGTGTTCATACTCAACTCTTAGTGAATTACTCCCACGCACAAAAACTTTATTTGCTACAAATTTCCAGTTGAGTTGGTATCACAACGCGTCAAAACAATGGAAAAATCCAACTGTAAACAGAACGGAAATTTAAGAAACCATCATAATAATTAAGAAATAAACTCCGCCCTTGGTTATCGCATAAAACCAAAATTTTATCGTTTCTACCATTTAAAAGAGATTTCAGATTATCGATGCACACTTCAATGAGAGCATATGAACAACATTCATTGGCAGTGTGAACGCATTGCGATTTATCTTTGTTTCATTAATTTTCGTTTAAGCTGTTTCAATTTATATTCATTTAAATAAAGTAGCAGAAAAAAGTGGATTTGCTGTATGCCATTGATCTTCAATGGATCAGATTCAAAATCACATACAGAAACGGGAGAGCAAAAAAAAACAACATACGAGCGGAATATAATGCATAACGTAGTTACATTTTTGACGCGCTGATAAAATGTATTATGTACACCGAAAATTGCGTAAATTGATGCATGCATACATTCAGCACAGAACAACAACGACAACAACAACAGCAGCAGCAATGCAAAAAAAACACATCATGTTCCAAAGAGGGAGACAAAAGAGAAACATGAACATTGTACGCAACATGATAAATTACTTTTTGTTCGGGCAATCAATGTTTCAGATTACTGGATGTGCCAGTATATGTGTGTCGATTTTCAATAACTATAAATGAAATAGCATGAGGTTATTTTTTCTCTAGGGCCCCCCCCCCTCCCCCGAGGGGTTGGTTGTGGCGTCTCTCTCAATCGGCCTTTGAAGTGCAGTTATGCACTTTAATACGATGCCGCTCTTGACTGCTGCGAGAGTGAAAAAATTTAAACAGTTTCGATGAGCCACACACACACACATACACACACACACACGCAGTAAAAACGAATAAAGTGCACACTTGGGTTATAAAATAAACAGTAAAACGTTCTCCACACTCTCTCGTTGATGAAGTAGCATCATTTGGGGAAAAATGAACGAGATAAAGCGTGGTTGAAATGTTCAAAATGAATGAACAACAGCAGCAGTAGCAAAAAAAATGTATCCAGAGTCGAATCATTTGAAATAAATGTGAAAGAATTGATGCACATATGATGTGGACAAAGAGGAAGAGGGAGAGGGAGAGTGAGCGAGAGTATGGCATTATCATGCAAAAGAAGTCAATTCATTTGACTATCATAAAGTGGTAACATGGCCGCTCTCTGTTTCTCGCATATTTTTTTTTATTCCTGTCTGTCTCATTCAACCGCTTATCCGTAAAATACATACAAAACGTAATTTAATGAAAATATTTGCGAAAATTAACAAAGGAAATTTAATAAAAGTTTGCTAATGGTATTAAAAATCAATGGAATGTACGGTGGAAAAAAAACGCAGTTGAGCCGAACAGAGGCGGTGCCAAAAAGTGGTGTTCACAGCATAGCATTTATATGAAGTGTTTCAACGTTATGAGCTTCTTTTTTATTTTCACTCGGCCACGCCGTTTTTTTTTCATCTCTTCAAACAAGCACTATACTCTTCAATACAACAAATGATATTGTAGTAGCTGCAGTTCCTCTTCCATGTTTATTCATTACTTATTTGCATGGCTCGTGATGTATGCTCAGGCTCGACACTCGCTATCCGAATCGGGAGTGCAGAGTGTGGAATAAACGTGCAGAGCGAAAGAGAGGCAGCAGCAATTCGATGCGTGCAACACTATACGCTTCGTATAATAATTAACAGCACAAACGCACAGTTGCGTTTTAACTGTATTTGTTCATGAATCAATGAATTGAAGTTGAATAAATTAAAAACATCATTACGTTTCAAGAGTTTGCCGAGCAGAACAACTACTGTGTACAGCCATCATTTGGTTGGTGAAACTTTTCCGCGACATCGCGTCGCAATTTTCACTATTTTTTCCCCTGTCACTCTCTCGCCCCCTCTCTCTCTCTCTGTGTACATTTTCCCTCGTTTATTTGATGTACCACTTCCGTTTCGTTCAATCAACTAGTTTCCATGTCACATTTCACGAGTAAATATAAACTAATGAAAACTGTTCGACGGAGAACAATTCTTGAATATCCTATACAACATTGATTTCCACTCACTAAAATTGAACAGTGACAACATTTCTAAATGAGTTTTCTTTTTCGTCTGTGTGACAAACATCTTTAATGCAATTATTTTGAAATTTCACTTGTTTATCTAATGAAAGAGTCGCAACTATATAGCATTTTAATAGTCTAGTTCGCAGCCAACTCAATAAACAAATGAATTTGTTTGTCAATAGAATGCCCGAGTTCTTTGACATTACTTTCGTTCTTTCGCTTATGCTTGCGATTCGTCTTTATTACAATTTCGTTTCTTGCATTTGCAATGGACCATGGCGAAAAAAGGGGCATTGCATGCAATCGCAAGCATTTTGGGCAAATAAACTGATGTTTGAATTTGCTTCAGCAAATTCACGGGTCACTTTGTTCGGTGTGCACATTGTGCATCGTTCAATGAACAAGAGTGAAGCAAAATCCATCAAATAGAGTGGCAGATAAAAGACTATACACGAAAAGTCTAGTGTAAAAATGTATGCAAAGGATTTTGGCTTCTTTTTTGGCATTTACCGGTGCTTCGAAAGCAAAAGGTTTTTGTCTCACTGGTTTACAATTCTTCATCGGTTCGAAACTTGCTTGACTCTGACTGACTGACTTGATGGGAATTGCATGCAGCAGCATCAACAGCAGTAACAATCTAAAGTTGAACATAGCAAAACTAGACTGAGTGTAAACTGTGTAAATTGTGAATAATGTTTGCTGTTTCGACGTAAAAGATCACGACGAAAAAGTGTGTGTTTGTGTGTGTTTGTGTGTGCAGACGAAGATAAAGGAACGAGTATAATGCCAACGAGCGGCAATACCTTTTATCACATTTTCGTTTGCTTTTTTCTCTCTCACTCTCACTCTCACTCTATAGTAACAACAAATAAAACTGAATTCAATTTTCCTAATGGAATAAAAATGGGATGTTTGCATAGCAAATAATGAATTCGAATATTTTGGCTGTGGAAGGAAGAGAGCGAGCAAACGAGTGGGGATGGGAGATTGGCGAGTGCGAGTAAAGTGAAATGGTTTGATTAGGAAATGGGCAATCTATTGATGAAATCACAATCAACTCTCTCTCTCTCTCTTCCACTCTCGGCAACAAGTTGGCTTAGCACCTTTTTCCCTCAATAATTATTGAATTGAGTCGAGTTAATTTATCGAACGGTAAAAGGTCGAAGCCAATTTCATGGACTTGAATTTCCCATTGTGTAATTTATTCCGCAAACTTTGTACCGGTATTAAAATTATGGCTTTGGACATAAGTCCTTTTTCTTCCTTCTTCAAGTTTCTATCTCTCTCTCTCTCTCTCTCTCTCTCTCTCTCTCTCTCTCTCTATCTCTCGCCCACTCGATGCGGGCGACAACCGTAAAAATGAATGTATACAAAACAAAAGAAGATATACTATTTTGTGTTCATATCAAACATGTCGAAGAAGGAAAAAGTTTGTTGTTTGTGACTTAGATTGGAATATTTCTGCTTTGGGAGAGCAATATTCATTCGCTGATTTCTACACTCGAAATGCTCACGATATCAATGTCAAAAAGTGGATTCTGATCTGAAAGCGATTGTGATTGTGACACCGTGTGTTTGTTATGTATGCGCGAGCTCAAATTCTTTTGAGTGAGCTTTAACATTTTCATATTTTATCTCTGGTTTTACCTGCACCGAGAGACGTGTGAAGACAGATTTATGCGTTCACAAAGTTCTAAACTTATTATTGTAATTTTTTTTGCTTCTTTTTGACTGTGCCGTGTTTTGCATACACTTGTTCCTTAGACTTTTTTCCCTGTCTTGTAGATTAATTCACAAGCGAACGAAAGAAATAGAAAACACAGTGAATGTTAACAAAGTGGAACACTTTGTGTTGGCGCGACGCAATGCTTATGATATCGCCGCACTTCTTAAATTCATAATTCATTGTTTTTACCGTTTCGCAACTACAAAATATGTTGTCTTCTTCTGTTCCTTTTTCCACCCCTCTTCTCTCTCTCTCTCTCTCTCTCTCTCTCTCTCTCTCTCTCTCTTTTACTTCTTTTTTCGTTCGTTATATTTATTTTTTTTTGTTTGTCACTCGTTGTGCGATATAAAAGGTTCCCGGAAAAGTAACTTGGGCACAAAAGCTTGGGTTCCATGAGAACAACATGTAAATCACTTTTTTTTCTTCGCAAGGCGACGAATAGGATAAGAAAAATGTCTTTGAAATAAAAGAAATACAACAACAGAAGCAGCAACAACTCGGAACAAACTCAAAGAAAAACCCGTACCGAACGAAATCACCAAAGTTTTGTGACATTGGCGAAACCGTAACAAAAGGCGAACACGACGATGAACACAAAAATCATGTTGTTTTGCAATCGAAAAAAGGGAAAATTATGCACACATTCTTATTTTTCACCGTAAATTCAGTATATTAGTGGGAAAATGTTCATCGGCAACGGAAACCATTCGCATTTATTTCACAATGTTATTGGCATTTGGACCCATGAAAAATTGCAAACTTTTCCATTTGCTTTCGATGTCGCTTTCCCTCGCTGCATGTGTGCGCTTGTGTATGTAGGTGCGGTGTGCCGTGATTTTAGATTGCCTATTCCCATCAA